TTTAGTAGAGACGGGGTTTCACCATGTTGACCAGGATGGTCTCGATCTCTTGACCTCGTGATCCACCCGCTTCGGCCTCCCAAAGTGCTGGAATTACAGGCTTGAGCCACCGCGCCCGGCCTGCAAGTGCCTATTTCAGACCCATATATGAAATATACATTCATATGTGATACCATCTATATATAAATGAGATTTTCTTAAGGTTAAACTTTTTTTTTCTTGAATGGTGGGTTCCTGACTAATATCATAACATCTAATAATAATAATGAATATTTACATTTTCTTTACATGCCTTATTGTGTTTAATCCTTTCAGTAACTCCAACAGGTAGGTATTATTTATCATCATGCCCATTTTACACGAGAGAACTGACAGGGATGCTAAGTCACTTGAGGCTGGTCAGTGTCAGGAAGAGGTAAATCTAACTTTTTCAACAATATTTTATTTATTTATTTTTTTTAGACACAAGGCTTTACTCTGTCACCTAGGCTGGATACAGTGGTATAATCATAGCTCATTGCTGCCTCAAACTACTGGGCTCAAGCAATTCTCCTTCCTTGGACTCCCAAAGTAATGGTATTATAATAAATAATATAGATAAGGCAAAAGTCTTCCTTGACCATGCTCCCTCCAGAGGCACAAGCACTACTGGTTTGGTAGAGAATCTTTCAGGCCATTTCCTATTTGTTTACAGTATAAAATATATACCCTTGACTTCATAGGTATTTTTAATACAAATTATATATAGGTATGGCCACTACACCTGGCCCAGAATATTTTCAATAATTCTCAAACGTTATCTATCAGTTGAAGTAACAGCTGCTTTAAAAGTACCTAAGCAGGGGCCAGGCACGGTAGCCCATGCCTGTAATCCCAGTGCTTTGAGAGGCCAAGAGGGAGGCCTGCTTGAGCTTAGAAGTTAAGACCAGCTTGGGCAACATAGCAAGACTCCATCTCTATAAAAAATTTAAAAATCAGCCAGGTGTGGTGGTGCACACCTTTAGTCCCAGCTACTCAACAAGCTTTAGGCAGGAGGACTGCTTGAGTTCAAGGTGGCAATGAGCTATGACTGGGTCACTATACTCCAGTTTGGGTGATAGAGCAAGAGACCTTGTCTCTAAAAAAGAAAAAAAATTTGAAGTACCCAAGCAAAACACAAGATTTTCATTGGAGTTTTAATAAATGATATAGATAAGGCAAAAGTCTTCCTTGACCATGCTCCCTCCAGAGGCACAAGCACTATTGGTTTGGTAAAGTATTTTTCAGGCCATTTCCCATTTGTTTATAGTATAAAATATATACCCTTGGCTTCATATATATGTATTTTTTTTTTTTTTTCCTTTTCAGACAGTCTTGCTATGTCACCAGGCACCAGGCTGGAGTGCAGTGGCACAAGCTCGGCTCACTGCAACGCCTCCCCCCACCACCGGGTTCAAGCAATGCTCCTGCCTCAGTCTCCCAAGTAGCTGTGACTACAGGTGCCTGCCACCACGCCCAGCTAATTTTTGTATATTTTAGTAGAGATGGGGTTTCACCCTGTTGGCCAGGACGGTTTCGATCTCTTGACCTCGGGATCCACCTGCCTTGGCCTCCCAAAGTGCTGGGATTACAGGCGTGAGCCACCGCACCCAGCTGACTTCATATATATTTTTAATACAAATTATATACTCTACATTTTGTTCTATAGCTTGCCTTTTTTCAATATTATCTTGGAAAGCTTTCGGTCACTATAGATTTACTATTGTTATTTACTGCTATAACTCTCTGATTAAATTTAATAAGGTATTGATTTTAATAGTTTTTAAAATGGGTTAATGGGTTTAATCCTTTGATTTACAGAAACATTAATCTTTTATGAAATAGATCACTTAAATTTTAAAATTCGTATTTTACTACATTTTCTGGGTAATAGCACACACTATATACTAGTACACCATGGGCAAATACTGCATTAGCAATAATAACAAACTTTCCTGATAAAAGGAAGGACAGAGGAGAAAGTAGCTGAGAGCATCCCAAAGGCAAACATAATAAGAGCAATGTCACAAGCAATGAGCCAACATCCTTCTTCAATAGGATACATCACACCACCATGCTTGGTCACCAATCAGACAATTTTTCTTTATTTTTGTGGGGTTTTTCCCACTTCAAAGTGTTAAGGATAAATGTAATCTGAAGTCAAGTTCAATTATACTCTGGCATAAATTAGAAAAAGGGATCTCCTCTGTTCAAATCTCAAATCTAATCTGTTCTGTATTCTTCAAAGAATGCAGTAAATTAATGGTAGCTCTAACATGTAAGGAAAAAATGTTTTAAATAAAGTAAAATGACAGTAAGAATGCCCCTGAATCGCATGATTGCTTTCCTGATATACTGTTACACATATGACTTCAATATAAGCATATTAATTCAATGTACTGGATTTGTTTGAGCCAAGATATTTCTAAAAGTTGTATCTCTAAAACCTTAAAAGAGAGATCAAATTCTAAAGATTAAAGAAGCAAGATTAAATGAGAATATCAACTAAGTCTATCATTCTTCTGATATTTACTGAAAAACGCATGCTGCTCTATCAGCAGCTTTCACACTTCCCTCATGGGTACTTCCTATTGGAGGTCTCACCTTTGTTGGTCCTAAGTCTTACTGTTTCTTCAAGTCATACCATTTGCATGAAGGGGTACGATAGCTGGGCTACTTCAAATCATGCCATGGTGGATGACAAAAGCCTTGCCCATGAAGTCCATACTTTGTCCTTTGGATATATCCTGAGTCATCTTTCTGAATGTCTTGCTTTTTGGTTTTTTAGAGGTGTAGTGTGTATTTTGCTTTTTTGTTTCTGTGTGTGTTTGTTTTGAGACAAAGTCTAGCTCTGTCACCCAGGCTGGCGTACAAAAGCACAACCTCAGCTCACTGCAACCTCCACTTTCCTGTTTCAAGCAATTCTTCTGCCTTAGCCTCCCAAGTAGCTGGAATTACAGGTGCCTGCCACCATGCCCAGTGAATGTTTTGTTTTTAGTAGAGACTGGGTTTTGCCATGTTGGCCGGGCTGGTCTTGAACTCCTGATCTCAGGTGATCCACCCATCTAGCCTCCCGAAGTGCTGGGATTACAGGCATGAGCCACTGTGCCTGGCGTGCAGTGTGTATTTTGATTCAAATCAGGACATACAATGTGTTCAAATAAACTTTTGGTTTCTTCATAATAGGAGGCTTGAACTTCAGAATAAGAAAAAGAAGAGCATGATACCCAAATGCTATTTACAACTAAACTGTCTGCCTCACACATTAATACAGAAAAACGTTAGTCATCCTTTCTGGGAAAAGATAAAGACCATTTAAATTTACCTCCAAATTCTTTTTTTTTTTTTTTTTTTTGAGACGGAGTTTCGCTCTTGTTACCCAGGCTGGAGTGCAATGGCGCGATCTCGGCTCACCACAACCTCCGCCTCCTGGGTTCAGGCAATTCTCCTGCCTCAGCCTCCTGAGTAGCTGGGATTACAGGCACGAGCCACCATGCCCAGCTAATTTTTTGTATTTTTAGTAGAGACGGGGTTTCACCATGTTGACCAGGATGGTCTCGATCTCTCGACCTCGTGATCCACCCGCCTCGGCCTCCCAAAGTGCTGGGATTACAAGCTTGAGCCACTGCGCCCGGCGTTACCTCCAAATTCTTTAAGGCACTAGATCTGTCATCCCTTTTGACCTATAGGTTAAGAAAATCTCCCCCAAAAGAAAATACAGGCCTTATGCCTTCAGGTTTCTTCCTCCAGGGGGCATATTTATAATAATGATGTCTCAGTTGCTACTTCCTCCCATATTTAATACTGACAGTTTTGTAACAGAAATATGCAACATTTTTTCATTTAGCATGGAAGAATTTTGAGGTCCAATTCTCAATAAAAATATTCTTAGTATTTTTTTTAGGTGTTTGCCCAATTTAATGTTGTATGGTTAAGACACAAGGGATATGCATGTATTTTTACAAGGTTTCAAAACTGTAAAGGAGGCTGGGCATGGTGGCTCACTCCTGTAATCCCAGGACTTTGGGAGGCCAAGGCAGGAGAATGGCTTGAGGCCATGAGTTCGAGACCAGCCTAGGCAACATAGTGAGACCCTGTCTCTATAAGAAAAATAAATTTAGCTGGGCACGGTGGCTCACGCCTGTAATCCCAGCACTTTGGGAGGCCAAGGCGGGTGGATCACGAGGTCAAGAGATCGAGACCATCCCGGTCAACATGGTGAAACCCTGTCTCTACTAAAAATACAAAAAATTAGCGGGGCATGGTGGCACGTGCCTGTAATCCCAGCTACTCAGGAGGCTGAGGCAGGAGAATTACCTGAACCCAGGAGGCGGAGGTTGTGGTGAGCCGAGATCACGCCATTGTACTCCAGCCTGGGTAACAAGAGCGAAACTCCATTTCAAAAAAAAAAAAAAGAAAGAAAAAAAATATATATATATAAGGATAGCTTCTGCTGAATATTCAAAAACTGTACTACGCCGGGCGCGGTGGCTCAAGCCCGTAATCCCAGCACTTTGGGAGGCCGAGGCGGGTGGATCACGAGGTCGAGAGATCAAGACCATCCTGGTCAACATGGTGAAACCCCGTCTCTACTAAAAGTGCAAAAAATTAGCTGGGCATGGTGGCACGTGCCTGTAATCCCAGCTACTCAGGAGGCTGAGGCAGGAGAATTGCCTGAGCCCAGGAGGCAGAGGTTGCGGTGAGCCGAGATCGCACCATTGCACTCCAGCCTGGGTAACAAGGGCGAAACTCCATCTCAAAAAAAAAAACAAAAAAAACAAAAAAAAAAACTGTACTACATATTTAAACATAAGCAGAGATTGAAAGTTCACCGTTCCTATGCACTGCAGGTTAAGCACATGCTTGAAAGACAAACACTGTTAGTAAAGCTATGTGCAGTAGGTTAACAGAACTTGCAAAGCCACCATTGCCAATACTTCTGCATACAGAGCATGCTTGGGCTGCAGAATGGGCCCTGATACCTTTAGTTCTTTAAGCCCCTGCATGTATCTCCCTTCTACATCCTGTATCTGGTCCTTAAGGTCATAGATATCCTGCAGGACATAGGAATGAACCATTGCATAAAACCATGCACAAACATATCTTAAATCACAAAGGATTCAGATGAAACATGACTCACTTTTGTATATTCCAGACAAAAAGCAAAGAAATCAAAATACAAAAACATAACTCCCACTCCCAACCACTGAAAGGGGCAAACAGGTCAGGGGATAGTGGGACTGGGGGAAGGTCTAGAGTAATCAATCTAAAGTTAAATATTTTCTTGGCATTAAATTCAGCATAGCAAATGGAGACAGGGCTATATATAAGGGAAAAAGCTGTATAAATTATAATACTTAAAATCATGCAATTTTTAATACTTTATAAATCACTTTAAATTTTTAAGTATAATGCTTCACCTAGAACTAGTAAAATATACAGTAAATTAATAAGAGGCAGAAAATTTTAATGATCCATACATAAGTTTTAAAAAATACAATAAATGAATATGAACAAAGTTTTCTTTCAATGACTTAGTTACTGGCCACAACTAACTAGAGAGAGAGGGAGTAAAGGGAGGGAAGTTAAGCACAAACATTTTGAACAAAATGTCAAATAGATACCATTTAAATGATGAGAAAAGCACTTGCTCCAAATGTTACCATAATCCTTATAAGAAACATGAAACAGGTCAAATTTTAAACGGAAAATACTGTTTCCCTCATGCCTGACCTTGTTATATAAGGTCTATTCTGAATGCTCGATTTATGTCCAATATAACTGCACAGAGCCCTAAATACAATTCTGCAATTATAAGCAGGATCAATTATTACAGGCTGATCATACACATTTTTGGTATTAAACTTTCCCTGCTCCCTTCACTGCCTCTCCAGTGAGAGGTTTGACTCTCTTTTACTCCTTGATTCATTTAATAGACATTTACGAAGGACCTATTAGGAGGCAAATGATAGGATACAAAATATCAGTCCCTTCAAGAAGGTCATTCTCTCCAAGAAGAAAAACAAGCAACATGTAGTATGACAAAAGCAAGCTATGTCTAAAGCTGTGGAGGGCCTTGTCCTCATATCATTTTTTTCCACTAGAATGTCGCACACCTAAAGGCAACTTATTCAACTTTCCACCCAGGCACTTATGTCTGGTGCACAGTAAGAGCTAGTAAGAGCTCAATTAATACTGATACCTTCAAAGCCACGGCCATGCTGGCCGAGGTGCTCTCCTTCTCTGACACTGTGGCAAGCCTCTCCATCCTCCCCTAACCTGCAGCCCATTTCCACAAGTAGCCCATTTCACAAGTCAGACTCCTTTTCCAATCTTACTGCCAATTTTTTTTTTAAGGCTAGTCAAGTGAAGCAATGAAAGGGGAGAAGGAACAAAGAAATCTGTAACTGATTGTGATCAATTACTTGTAAACACCACTGCACTCAGACCAGCCCCCACCTACAATCTTACTCAGTCACCACCTGTCCTACTTCGTCTACTGTGTCAGTGAAGAGGGACCTCCAGGCCAGGCAAACCCATCCATCCAAGTCCTGGACTCTCCTCTCACCCTCTCAGGCACTTTGATCTGTCAGTCACCCTCTTTCCTTCTTCAACCTTCATCCTCTCTCTCCACTGGTTCACTCAACCAAAGAAATAAATAATCAATCTCATCTTTAAAAGAAAGCTAAAAACATTTTCTTAAATTTCTCTCTCCCTACCTATTGCCCAACCAATTCCTGGTCTCTCATATTCACTCCAGAGCATGTTTCTTACATTTTCTCCCCTGACATTTTTGACTTGCTCACTTCATCCTCACGGTTGAACCACAGAGTTACTGCTCTTCTGGCCTGCAATGCTTCCTCTGACTGTGGTCAAAGTTATTTTTTAAGAATACAAAGCAGATAGTATTGCTCTCCTGTTTAACATCCCATAGTTGTCAGGGTAAAACTGAATTCCTTTCAGGCTAGAATACAAGATGCTTTGTGATTTGACCCTGCACTACTTTTCCAGCCTTCACTCTTAGTACTGTTCTTCACTCCTCATCCTACCCTCTGGCAACTTTGCTATACAGCTAACTTTATGGGTTCTCTGAATGCATCTCTTTCAGAAAGACTTCCCCCTTCAATTTCTTTGCCTGGTTAATTTTTATTTTTCCTTCAAACCTTAGCTCCAAGTTGTCTTTTCTGAAAAGCCTTTTGTTATCTCTTCTAGTCCAATTTAGATGATGCTTTTCTTAATTACCTTAATCGCCCTATTCTTGCTACTATTGTATAACACCACCTGGTTTTTATCAGTTTGTCTTCCCTATGAAACAGGGAAATCCTAAGGCCAGAACATGTTTTGCTGCTTAAATCTCCAAGGTCAAGTGCTCAATAAATGTTGAATGAATGAATGAATGAATGCAATTTCTCTGACTACACCTTGCCTCACAAATAGCAGGTTCTGTTACCCAAATATTATCGCACTTCTATTAGTATGAAAAACTGAGAGATAACCATATTCAAGCAGCTGAATACCATCATGGCTCAAAAGACTAATAATTCCCACAATCTAGTTCTTTGTTCACACACACATTTTCCATTTAAAACATGACCAGTTGTTTCTGAGAGAATTACTTTTATATGCAGTACATTACAAAGTGCTTTTTTTGGCATTTGTAAATTAGCAGAAATTCCAACACCATCAAATTTTCAGGAAAGAGGACACAAAAAAGAATTAACTAATCTCCTTCCTTTCAACTCTGAAACACCTGAGTCACACTTTTTAACTGTACTAATTTGAACTGTACCAATTTTTTTAAAAAGAATCATATTCCTTATTTCTACCAAGTCACATTAAAGGTTAAAAGTTATAGTATATTACCAAGAAGTCAAAAAACTGCCTTTAAAAAGAAAACCAAAAACTTGAGTTTACCCGTAATTCACTTAATGAGGTGTCCGGATCTATTAAGCTGCTGGTGTCCCCACTTCCTCGTCTGGATGAGTTTCCACTTAGAGGGGTTGTTGCTGAGGCAGAATTTCGAGATGAAGGCTACAAAGAGAAATATGACACCTCTAAGTCTCATTTCTTTAAAAATATGTTTGCTGTGAAAACTAAAAACAGGGCAGGGTGGTTGGGGGAAAATGTGGCCTTCAGATGAATAAGTTATCATGTGTAATCAATGGTCAATTTAGATTGGCTTTGTGGGAAGAGGTATCCAGGGAAAGGCCTAAGCATACTAAGCAAAATTTCATTAACACAAATACCTTATCAGAATCTAGAATTCATCATAACCATCATAACCAAAAAGAAAACAGTTTTTATGAGGGTTGTTTATTTTCTAAGTTTATCTTTGCTATCCACTGAAGTGAGCACATCAGATTAAAGCAGTTTTAGAATTCTATAACTAATATGACAATCAGCACTTCCCCTTTTTAGTTTCTGAACTGCTTATGAATCTCTTCTTTCTCTAATACTTTGCTGATAAAGATGAAGACACTATCTGCACTGGAGAGCAGCAACACTGGATGTTACTATGAATGTAGACTGTTCTTCCCAAAATTAGTTTAAATGTGAGATTACGCTATTGATTAATAAACAGCATGAATCTGTGCTGTCCGATATACTTGCAATTAGCCACTGAGCACCTGAAATGTGGTTAGTCCAAATTGAGAGTTGAGTATAGGATGCATACCAGATTTTAAAGGCTTAGTGTAGAAAAAAGAATAAACTATATCTCATTAATAATTTTCTATTTATTAGTTTTCTTTCTTTTTTTTTTTTCTTGAGGTGGATTCTCGCTCTGTTGCCCAGGCTGGGGTGCAGTGACAAGATCTCGGCTCACTGCAACCTCCACCTCCCAAGTTCAAGCAGTTCTCCTGCTTCAGCCTCCCAGACTGAGGAGTTGCTGGGACTACAGGCTTGGAACACCATGCCTGGCTTTTTTTTTTTTTTTTTGTCTCTTTGCATTTTTAGTAGAGACAGGGTTTCATCATGTTGGTCAGCCTGGTCTCGAACTCCAGACCTCAAGCGATCCACCCACCTTGGCCTCCCAAAGTGTTGGGATTATAGGTGTGAGCTACTGAATCCAGCCTAGTAATTTAATATTGATTATATGTTGAAATAGTTTGGATATTTGGATTAAATATATTACCTACATTAATTTTACCTGTTTCTTTTTACTTTTTAAATGTGGCTACCAGATAATTTAAACTTACATATAAGTTCAGATTTGTGGCTTGCATTATATTTCTACTGGACAGAGCTAATTTATCTTTCTTGGGTATAGCAGAAAATTAATTCTGATAAATCATTTCCCTAATTGACTTTCTAAAAATACTTTCAGAAGAAAGAGACTTTAACATAAAGCAAATCCTAGAAAGGAATATTTTACTTCAAGAAACAATTTATATATAAAAGAAGACAAAGTCTCAGAGTTTGTCACCACCATTCCTAAAGAAACTTCACATTCAGTATTTACTGGCTTCTTCTCAGGATCAATTTCTAGAAGAATCAAAATTTAAAAAGCAGATAAAAGCTAAAGAGGTGACATTCAAGGAAATAAAATGCAGCGCGTTTTTTCTCCCAGGGCCTCACATGATTTAACTTCGAAGGAATTTTGGAGGGTCAAGTACAGGAAATAGATGAAGGGAGGAAGAGCAGCTACAGACCAATTGTTGTAAAATAAATAATGAACAAGTCACGGATAACAAGTTTAACTGACCTTGATAATTTCCCTTAGGAATTTATATACTCACTCTTGTATAATTTTCAGCATACTGTTTGTCAGATTTTTCATCCAACTAGAAAAGAACAAAGATAAAAATCAGGAAAGATGCTTAGCAAGCTGATTTTTTTTTTTTTAGGAGAAAAAAAGTGATCTTAATTTGAGTTTTCCAAGTTGAGTGATGTTTGAAGCCTAAAAATAAACATATGAAAAATGAAATAAAAATTCCAGTTTAACATAAGACAAAATGGCAGTAACTTTAATTTTTATCCTAAGGAAGACATTGAGTAAGCAATCTATGTTTACGCTTACTCAAAAGTTTAGAACTTAGATAAATTTTCTGTTTACGATACTTAAAACACATTAAAGAAGGCTACATATAAACTTAAGTTTTAGCACTGCAAATGTTAATACAAAAAAAGCATGTACATATTAAAAGGAAAAGTCTGATAAAACCAAAAGTGAAAAAACTTCATTTCTAAACATTGTTAGGACACAGGACACATAGATAAAGACTAGTACACTCAGCCAAAAAAGTTCAGATTGGACTAAAGCATGTTAAATATGTCACCAAAATATTTTCTCTCACACCATTAAGGATTTTTTTTTCAGTAATACACGCACATGTGACCCCCCCACAAAAAATCAAACAGCACAAAAGGAGATGAGTAGGGCTCTCTCCCTACCATGCCATACCCTGACCACCAGTCTCTTTAATAGCAACCAACCCCAAAGTCTTTAAAATATTCTAGTAAGTGTCCCATATAGGTTCTATATCTTCTTTTCCCCCTTACCAAGTCTCAGAGATTTGAGAAAGTACTTCATCTTTCTTCATAACATTTATCACTCCCTGACACTATGGTATTTATTCACTTATTTATTGTCTGCTCTCTTTCTATAATGTAAGCTCTGTATCAGTATGTTCTTTTCTGTACTCCTAGTACCAAGAATAGTGTCTGGCATACAGAAGGACTCAAAATTTGTTGGATGAATAAATAAATCATACCCCATCTGTACTAATAGACTTCCCTCATTTATTTTAAACAGCTTCATAGTAGCCTGTTGTCTCAATTTGCCATCATTAAGTTAACCTATCTTCTGCTGATAGGCCTTAAGGTTGTTTAAGACAGTGCTTCAAGAAGGCAGGTACCTTAAAGGTCTCGTCCAAGACCTTGACTTTTATAGCTAGGGAAAAAGAAATTTGGAGGTGAAAGATTTTGCTGAAAGTTGCAGAGTTAAATCCAACCCTTAGTTTTGTAAATCTTCAGTTCAGTGTTCACATTGTTTACCTGCATATATATATATATATATATATATATATATATATATATATATGCTATTCCAATTATCAGGAGAAAAAAGTCACATAGAGATTTAACTAAATGAAAATAACTCTGGGGCCAGGTGTGGTGACTTACACTTGTAATCCCAGCACTTTGGGAGGCCGAGGTGGGCAGATCACAAGATCAGGAGATCGAGACCATCCTGGCCAACATGGTGAAACCCCGTCTCTACTAAAAAATTAGCTGGGTGTGGTGATGCGTGTCTGTAGTCCCAGCTACTCAGGAGGCTGAGGCAGGAGAATCGCTTGAATCCGGGAGGCAGAGGCTGCAGTGAGCCGAGATCGTGCCACTGCACTCCAGTCTGGGCAACAGAAAGAGACTATGTCTCAAAATTAAAAAAAAAAAAAAGAAAAGAAAAGAAAAAGAAAGTAATTCCAGCTCTTACACAAACCTTCTAGGTCCAATCTAGAGACAAGATCTGAAAACCGTTCTCAGTTAATTATTAAAACACGAAAAATTTCTGGCTCTACTCAGATCACTTCACCTTAACTTCCCTATATCTGAAAGTTCTTAGTGTTCTTTTTATTACCCACACTTATGTTTATGAATATTCTTTATTATGATGAGAGTATTACATCAATAATATAAACACTATTTTAGACACTTAACTGTTATTTCTTGCTGTAAAAACTCTCAAAAAGAAATTTTAGCTCCTTTTGATTCTTTTTGATTTTTGAATATTTATTGTCCTTGTTTTTAACCTAATTTGCACATTTACATAATTATAATGGCTGTGTTTAACAACTGGCTTGCAACAAAATTCTTAAAAATTGAATAATTGGCCCACCTGGGCTGGGACGAGCCAGCTGGAGCATACTGCTGCCCTCAGCCTCTAGGAGGCCTCAGGATTACAGCGTCCATCTTATGATACTGGCCTGAAGGAGATAGTCTTGGAGGTGCTGCTGACTCTTGAACTTCCTTTTGGAATGTATGAGAGAAGGCAGGAAAAGGAACCTTGAGGCAGACTGCCATCCAGGGACTGCTATCCTGTTCACTTATTCAGCTGTGAATGTCAGTGTTCTTTCTTCCTCTTCTGTCTACTACATGCAGGCCAGGAAGCTGAGGAGTTAGTCAAAGGTACAGGAAGGGAAAAGAGAAGAGGGCAAGAGCCCATCCCCCAAGGAAGGAAGGGCTCCAATGCAGAGGGAGCAGGAGCTGAGACAGCCACTGCCTCTCTAACCCTCTGTTCCACCCCTCGGCTCAAGAAAAGCAGGCTTAGCAGAGTGGCCACTTTTTATTGGTCTGGCTGGCATGCCTAGTGGACAGATAGGCGGAGCTTCCTATCTGTCCTGGCTCCCATCTTCCCTCTCCTGGGAGTTCATCACACACCCTGAGAGGGAAGTGTCCTGGGCCGAGGTGGGAGGTAAAACCAAGGTAAAAACTCCAGAGCTGGGAAGCAAAAGGGTCTCAGGGTGATGTAGGAAATGTGACATTGTCAGGCCATCCAGATGAAGCGTCCGTAAGGCAGAAGAGGAGCTGTTTCCCCGCAGAGACTCCTCTGCCCCCACCAGGAATGGGAGGGGCAAGAGGAAAAGCTTCCCCAAGGGGCTCCCTACTGGGCCCTTCGTGCCATCAGCATCTCCCTGATGTTGTTCTCAGCTTCCTTAATGCTCCGCTCCAGGTAGGACTTTTTTTGTTCTAGTTCTTTAATTTTTTCTTCTGCTATTTTTTGCTTCTCTAACAGTTGATTGTAAATTGCTTCTTTGGACTGAAGAATAAACATTCTTCCTACACCTTCATACATGTTAGTCTCATCTACCAAAGTCATGATCTCTGTATCTGTAAGATGTGCATGCTTTTTCGTTCTGTTTAGCTGTCCAATCTGTATGTCTGCCAGCTTCACCTTCTGTTGAGTGTCGATAACTTTGGCTTGAAGCTCTGTGAAGGCCTTCTTCAACTCAAGATCCACGGGGGCGGCCATTTTGGTGTACTCTAGTCCTCATTTTGATTTTTTAAACAACATATAAATGTTTCTAAGCAGGTAATGACAGTGACTGAAATGATTTTTTTTAATTTAAATTTTATTTTTTTTGAGACAGAGTCTCACTCTGTTACCCAGGCTGGGGTTCGGTGGTGCAATCTCGGCTCATTGCAGCCTCTGCCTCCCAGGTTCAAACTATTCTCCTTGCCTCAGCTTCCCAAGTAAATGGGATTATAGGCACATACCACTATACCTGGCTAATTTTTTTTCTTTATTTTTAGAAGAGACGGGGTTTCACCATGTTGGCCAGGCTGGTCTGGAACTCCTGACCTCAAGTGATTCACCCACCTCAGCCTCCCAAAGTGCTAGGATTACAGGCATGAGCCATCACACCCAGCATGAAATTTGTTTTAAAATACTATATTGCCAATTATTGCCATAAAAAATTATTTTATGCCTCTATAGTACATTGCCCAATATTTAATGTATTATTCTTCAAGGTGAAATAAATATTTTATTTGAATAAACTGCCTAATTTTCCTCAGAATATTTTCCAACTCTTTTCTGCCAACGTGTTAAAGAGAAAAGCAAGTAGTATTCAAAATTAAAACAGTCTTCCAAGTTTATTTGAAATCCTTCCTCATACCCACTTCTCACAAAAATGACCTCCAAACTCACCCAGTTTTTAACAGGCTGACCCTGGAATAATCTTACATTTCAGAGGCCATATCACTGAACTAATCCATCACAATGTTGACTCTATTGCTTTCACTGTCTTCTCACCGATCCCAACTGTCGAAACCCAAACTGATCATACACCAAACCTCAGAGATTGTCAAGCCAGCAAAAATTACCCAAAGCTACCATGACACAGTTCTCTTATTTTGTCTCCACTAACTTGCCCAGTTCTCACTTTTGAGACTTGTACTATATTATGTGCTGTCTTCCATTTAGAAAAATACCTAGCTGAAACTTGGTATTCTAAAAGTCCAAGAGGATCCAACAGCCAAGAGTTCCACATGGCTGGAATGCAATGACAAGCTCATGTTCATAATGATGATCCAGAGTCTGCCAGATCCAGAAGAAAAGCTTTTAAAATGGAACAAAATTAATCATATTTAATATATTAAGGTATAAAACTGTAATAAAGTATTTACAGTGTATTTTCAGTGTAGTTTCTTTAATACGGTCATTGGATCTTAATCCTTTATTAACTTCTAATTTATATATATACTAACTTGATAATGCTACTCAAAAATCGTTTGAAAAAATATCTGATTCCTCAACCACAGACGGGAAGACATCAATCAATTTTAACAATTTCCTATTGCCAAACTGGCTAAGGATTCCATTTAGAAATGGGTTTAATTATTAACAATTGGCAAAATTTCAGTTTTACTTAAAACACATTTATATTTGTTTCCTTTATTGTAGCCTGACTTACAAAACAGAAATAAAGCCAATGGAGAAGAAAATAAGAGTCTAGAGCCACCAAAAATATTACATAGGCTTGCAGAATCATGACCTGGCATCCCTTTCTCAGCACCTGCTAGCTCAGAAGTTATGAACTATAAGCTTACAAACATACTTAGTACACAATGATGTAACCAAAAAATGTCTTTTAGAATTCTGAATTCATTCCAATATTTTAAAATCAGAATATTTCATGTTGAAATGGAGATTTCCAGCTCATCTTTTTATAAAAGTGGGAGGGGAGGGGAGTCTATTAACAGCAAGTCTCCTTTGTATTCATCTACAAGATAAGCTGGACTACAGCTTACCCTTTAAAAAAATACTACTAGAGAAAGTTATCTGCTCCAGAGAGAGGCCCAGAAAATACTGTAGGCTTTGCCAGGAAGCAAAATTAAGGATAAGGTATTTATAGATAATCATTTAAAAATATACAAATCGCCTGTAATCCCAGCGCTTTGGGAGTCCGAGGCAGGAAGATCACTTGAGTCCAAGAGTTTGAGGCTGCAGTGAGCTATGATGGCCCCACTGCACTCCAGTCTGCAAGACAGAGCAAGACCCCATGTCTTTAAAAATATATATATTTATATATGTACATATACATATATATATATATGTATATATAAATGTGTGTCTGTGTGTGTATACACACATACGTATAAATAAACCAAACCTTCAAGTGGCTTGAAGACTATAAAATAACAGGGGGCAAGCCAGATTTGTAAATCCCTGCTCTAGAAAACCTTTTGCTTATGTTAAAGAGTTATATTTAATATTGGCCGGACGCGGTGGCTCAAGCCTGTAATCCCAGCACTTTGGGAGGCGAGGCGGGTGGATCACGAGGTCGAGAGATCAAGACCATCCTGGTCAACATGGTGAAACCCCGTCTCTACTAAAAATACAAAAAACTAGCTGGGCGTGGTGGCGCGTGCCTGTAATCCCAGCCACTTAGGAGGCTGAGGCAGGAGAATTGCCTGAGCCCAGGATGCGGAGGTTGCGGTGAGCCGAGATCGCGCCATTGCACTCCAGCCTGGGTAACAAGAACGAAACTCCGTCTCAAAAAAAAAAAAAAAAAAAAAAAGAGTTATATTTAACTAGTAGGGGAAGGGGGAGATTTTTTAAACTTTCAGCATCTTCACTTATATGTAATTACTAAAGTGAATCACCACAGAAGAAATATAAGAAAAACGTAACTATTAATTCAGACATTATAAATTAAGAGGCTGACAGAATTCAGTTTTTAAGAGAACAGATGTAAACAATAAATTTAATTATCTATACTTATGGGGGTAGGGGCACAGAGAAGGGATTACTAGGCAACTTATAAAGGGCAATATTGCCGGGCGCGGTGGCTCAAGCCTGTAATCCCAGCACTTTGGGAGGCCGAGGCGGGTGGATCACGAGGTCAAGAGATCGAGACCATCCTGGTCAACATTGTGAAACCCCGTCTCTACTAAAGGTGCAAAAAATTAGCTGGGCATGGTGGCACATGCCTGTAATCCCAGCTACTCCGGAGGCTGAGGCAGGAGAATTGCCTGAACCCAGGAGGCGGAGATTGCGGTGAGCCGAGATCGCACCATTGCACTCCAGCCTGGGTAACAAGAGCGAAACTCCGTCTCAAAAAAAAGGGCAGTATTTCAGGGGAATGACTTGGAATCCAGTGTTCTAACTTTGTATGCAGAGAGAGTTACTCATTTGACCCACACCAAGATGATACTGTTGCATAGCCAGATTTGAGAACCAATGATCTGGAATATTTAAGGACGAAAAATGAAATTATCTTCTAGAATTAAAATAGTTCAAAATAGCTATTTAAATATGATCAGTGAAATGCTCATTATAAATAATTATTTCTTCATTAAAAAATGAATGTCTAACTGTTCTATTAAGAAATGTTTGCCAGGAGTGGTGGCTTATGCCTGTAATCCCAACACTTTGGGAGGCTGAGGCAGGTGGACTGCTTGACGTCAGGAGCTTGAGACTAGCCTGGGCAACACAGCAAAACTCCGGCTCTACAAAAAATATAAAAATTAGCCGGGCCTGATGATGCACACCTGTAATCTCAGCTACTGGGAAGGCTGAAGTGAGAAGAAAAAGAAAAGAAAGAAAAGAAAGGGAAGGAAGGGAGGAAGGGAGGGAGGGAGGAAGGAAGGGAGGGAAAAAGGAAGGAAGGAAGGAAGAAAGGGAGGAAGGAAGGAAGGCAGGGAGGAAGGAAGGAAGGAAGATGCTGCTTCTCGCCCCCTCCAAATGGTATAGTCTTGGTCTATGAACAAAACATCACTAATGTCATCAAGTGAGGAGACGTGCCACAGAGAAATCAAGCTGTTATTCTGAGATAAGCAGGTAGATCCTAAGTTGCTGGCTGGCGTTCATTCATTAAGACAAATGCCCCAAGGACAACCTTTCCTAAATTTGGTTCCTGATGAATATGGAAGCAATGGATAGGCACACTTCTTCAGAACAATACCATAATCCAAATGTTTAAAATCAATTCAGATTCTTACAAGTTAGTACAAATTAGTGACACTTTACTAAGTAGCATATTTCATTATTCAACTTCCAAAGTCTACCTATCACTTTATAGATTCACTAAAACCAAAAAGGAAAAATAATTTTTTTTTTTTTTTTTTTTTTTTTTGAGACGGAGTTTCACTCTTGTTACCCGGGCTGGAGTGCAATGGCACGATCTCGGCTCACCGCAACCTCCGCCTCCTGGGTTCAGGCAATTCTCCTGCCTCAGCCTCCTGAGTAGCTGGGATTACAGGCACGTGCCACCATGCCCAGCTAATTTTTCGTATTTTTAGTAGAGACGGGGTTTCACCATGTTGACCGGGATGGTCTCGATCTCTCGACCTCGTGATCCACCCGCCTCGGCCTCCCAAAGTGCTGGGATTACAAGCTTGAGCCACCACGCCCGGCCAGGAAAAATAATTTTTTAAACCAATAACAAATGTCTGAATAAGGGCTAGGTATTAGATGATACTAAAGATTTACTTATTCCATTTTCACACTACTAAAAAAAAAATAAAGAAAACATTTTTAAAAAGATAAAAAATAAAAAAATTACTTATTTGATTAGTTATGATAATGATATGAAAGATCTGGAAAAATGTTCAGTTAGAGATATATATTGAATTATTTATCGGGAAATGACATGATGTGAGATTTGCGTTAGAATAATTCAGGGAAAAGCGGGAAGGGAGAAGAAATCCATGAAACAAAACTGGCAAAATATTGATAATTGTTGCAGATGCTGATGGGTTCTATGTGGAGATATTTTCACAGAAGGGGAAAAGGTTTTTTTTATAAAAAAGACATATTAATGAATACATTCCAAAACAGAGCAAATGTATTTGATGTTAACATGTTCACTGCAACCTCCACCTCCTGGGTTCAGGCGATTCTCCTTGTGTCCCCACACCCAGCTAATTTTTTTGTATTTTTAGTAGACACAGGGTTTCACCATGTTGGCCAGGCTGGTCTTGAACTCCTGACCTCAGGTGATCTATCTGCTTCAGCCTCCCAAAGTGCTGGGATTACAAGCAGGAACCACCGTGCCTGGCCCAAACAAATATTTCTTGAGACAATAAATCAAGTTCCCACTTTTATTATAAACTAGCTAACATATTAGCTGTTAGTCACAAGCCTAGAACAATATAACCAAACACCCCATGCAATACACTCACGCTGGACAAATCTGGGATACTGATGTCATCTACCTCGGAGACAACACTTCCCCTACGATCGGCGCGACTAAAATAATTGGCGGCAGAAACCTTTCAGTCAGAAAAAAATGAGATGCTTTAAAAGTTAAGAAAATACAGAAGAAAGAAAAAGAGAAGAATCCTGGTCAATTGGGGAAAGGTTTTTTAAAATTTTGATGTGTGATAAAGTATCAAGAAATAAAACGAGGAAACTGCTGCAATTAATAACCTACTCATCAAAATAAAAAAGAAAAGAGGTTCCTGAATGAACTCACAGCTCTACAATCAGTTTTTTTATTCATCTTAACTAGAGTTTTATGCTACAGAGAGCATTCACTTCCTGAGGACTGGCAAATCTCTCATGTTTAAAACATTCATCACCCTAAACAGAGGCATTTCTAAGATAGTATCTACCTAAAGCCTCTACTATAATTCTCAAAATTTATAATTCATTATAGCTAACAACTGTTAAGAATACATATGTTGAATGCAGAATTATTTGCAGGGTGTTTACTGTACCTTTTCTCAGTTTACACAGTTTTCTCTTTTTATATTCCCAAAGACCAGGAAACATAGGAGAAAATAATTAAGGAAATGAACTATACTGGCCTCTTTTTGGTTCCCCAAACACACCCAGTTCTCCCTCACCTTAGGCCTTATCTTACAAGGCCTAGAAAGCTCTTCTCCCAGCTCTTCAGGCAACTGGCTCCTCACATTTCAGGTCTCAGCTCAAAGATCAATTTCACAGAGAAGCATCTCTAATCACTCCATCCAAAGGGTCACCCACACACATACTGACCCCTCCGTGTTCCCTATCACATTATCTGTTCTCTTCACAGTCCCTGACATTTCTTTCTTTTTGTTTCTTTCATTACTAGCTTATTTTCCGTCTCTTTCACTAGGATATAAGCTCCATAAAGTCAGAAATCTAGTTTGTCTGGCTTAAAATAGAATTTCTAGCACTTAACACAGGGCTTTGAATGTAACAGGTACTCTACAAGATGCACTCTCAACACATTTTATAAGGCAAATTACTTATATAACCAAATTTGAGGAATATGCTCTTTTTGTCAAATGGAAATTACACTTCCCAAAAGATTTCATGTGATCACACGTTGTTGTCTTACAACTCATTTTATATTTTTGCATGCAAACCATGCTCACCACACTCTCCCTTCGTCCACGACTGGCACAATCAGAAGACACAATGCTTGCGGTGTCATCGTTGGTAAACTATTGATATTAAATGCAGATAATGAAAAGTGCAATTTTGTATGATCTTAGCTCATTATAGGCACATTAAGGAAGGTTTTGAGATGCATACAAGTATCTATATAAGCAGCATAATTGGTACTATTGTGCACCCTTACATATTAACAGAAAAACTGGTACAAGGCATAATAAACTGCCATTAAAAATAAGGAGACGCTTCCAAAAAGCACAAATAAAGTAAAACCTTATATTTTATTTCAGTTAAATTAAATTAAAGGTAAAGTGGCTCACGCCTGTAATCCCAGCACTTTGGGAGGCCAAGGCGGGTGGATTGCTTGAGGTCAGGGGTTCAAGACGAGCCTCAACAACATGGTGAAACCCCATCTCTACTAAAAATAAAAAGATTAGCTGGGCCTGGTGTTGGGCGCCTGTTAATACCAGCTACTTGGGAGGCCGAGGCAGGAGAATTGCTGGAACCCAGGAGGCGGAGGTTGCAGTGAGCCCAAATCATGCCACTGCATTCCAGCCTCAGGGACAAAGTGACACTCGTCTCAAAAAATTAAAGAAGGGGAGGTGCATAAGTAAGCCAACTGAAACCAGCTAGGGATTTCATACTTTTTAAACCTCCGAGCCCTTTGGGATCCTATCAGAGGTCAATAAATATACTTAATGTTTTGCTTGGGAGAGAGAATAAAATAATATTCTCAAGCACAACAATGTAAGTCAACAACAGAACTTCCTATAACAAGAACAATGAAGTGATGATTCTTATTTCCCCTTCTTCATTCCTATGTAACTAGTGGAGATGTTGCTAACATCCTACATGGCTCTGTCATCTTCCTGCTTTACCGCCCAAAGACTCATCTTCAGTATGTGTAGTTTATCTTCATTCTAGTATCACTAAGAAACCATTGTGGCATCACTAAAATAGTTATTCTAACCCCAACCTGCAAATGAAATAGGATCTAGCTAGCCTATAAGAACAAGATCCTACACTTGACTGAAAATATAAGCTGGATACAGTAATACGCATTTGCAGTCCCAGCTACTCAAGAGGCTAAGGCAGGAGGATTACTTGAGCCGAAGAGTTCAAATCTAGCCAGGGCCACATAGAAAGCTACCCTCTCTAAATAAAAATTAAAATTAGTCTGGGTGCAGTGGTTCACTGACTGTATTCCCAGCAGGAATACAGGAATTCCTACAGGAGGTAGGTAGATCACCTGAGGTCAGTTCGAGACCAGCCTGGCCAACGTGATGAAACCCCATCTCTACTTAAAAAAAAATTAGCCAGGATGGTGGTATGTTCCAGTAAGGTGGGAGAATTGCTCGAACCTGGGAAGCGGAGGCTGCAGTGAGCCAAGATCGCACCACTGCCCTCCAACTCTAGGCAACAGAGTAAGAAGATCTCATCTCAAAATACATATATATATACGTATATACATATGTATACGTATATATATACATATATATACGTATACATATATATACGTATATATATGTGTATATATATATATATATATATATATGTATATAAATTTAAAAAGTGTGTGTGTGTATGTATAAAATCAAATTTTATTTGCAAGGGACCACCACACTCAGGAATCTAAAAGTGCTACCAGGCCCAATAATTGCCAAGTGAATTTTTATTTTTTTTTTGAGACGGGGTTTTGGTCTTGTTGCCCAGGCTGGAGTGCAAGGGCGCAATCTCGGCTCACTACAACCTCTGCCTCCCGGGTTCAAGCGATTCTCCTGCCTCAGCCTCCCGAGTAGCTGGGACTACAGGCGAGCGCCACCATGCCCAGCTAACTTTTGTATTTTTAGTAGAGACAGGTGTTTCACTGTATTGACCAGGATGGTCTTGATCTCTTGACCTCATGATCTGCCTGCCGCAGCCTCCCCAAGTGCTGGGATTACAGGCGTGAGCCACTGCGCCCAGCTGCCACTGAAATTTTATTACAAGGTGGGTTAAAAGTAAACTACTTTCTTATGTGAAAAAAAGCTCTTATCTTCTTAAATATTCGTGTGTAACTTTTGTTAAATATAGCAGTAGCATTTTTGAGCAGTGCCACTTAGAAATGGTAGAACTGAGACAAACGTATATATAAAAGAAAACCCATATAGCTCGTGTATTCCACTCCACAAAGTTACCTTTGATGATCTTCAAAAAAACTGCTTCAATTATTTCTCTAGTTTTGACATTATCAAGGATAACAAGGTCGCCTATAAAGTCATCATTTGCCACGGGGAATGTGAATTAGTACAGTCTTTTTGGTAGGCAACATGGTAATTTACATCGTAATTTAAATGTGCATCCTCTTTGACCCCATCATTTCACACTTGCAGATTTACCCATGTAAGTACACAAAAATATACTTGAATAAGAACGCTCATTGTGTAAGTGTCTATAGTAGCAAACGTATGGCAACCTAATGTCCATTACAGTGAAATGACTTTTAAAATGTAACCTTATGCACTAACGGAATATATGGCCATTAAAAAGAATGTGCTCATATGAAACTATCTCTAAGAGACAAGAAGTGGAAACACTAAGGGTCACAGCTTGTTTAAAATTTTTATTAAAAAAAAGAATGAAATAAAATCTATAGATGCTGATACAGAAAGCTACTTTAAATAAAGAAAATATATTGAGGAGCAGTATGTATATGAACCCACTGGCACTCAAAGAGCACTCATATATGCATAAAATATCTCTGAAATGTTATTGAAGAACAGAGGTTATATTTGGGGTATGAAAATGGAGAAGGAGGGGTCTGGGGAATCTTGGATTTTCCTTAACTGATGTTACTTTTATAAATTAAAAAAAAATACTCCAAAAAGATCAGGTAATTATAATTGTCTCAGTTTTGTCTCTTGTATAACAATTTTTTAAAAATCAGCTTGCTTTATTTCTTCTGCTTTCACTGCACTGATAGAAGTGCTGGCAAGCAGGTGAAACAGCTCAATGTGCAGAAAGTAAAGATGGAAAGGAGAAACCTATATACTGAATTTTCATCACTGAAAGACAAAAAAGTTCTACACAAATGAAAATTAAATACAAAAACTTCAAAAATTCTAATGGCACTGTTTGCAGACTCATTTAAGAAATTACATGCTAAGTCACATTTAGAGAGAAATCACCAATTATTAGAATAAATTAGTGCTTGAGTTTGTGTTCTAAGGGTGCACCAAAATCCATGCACAACAAAGTGAATCACACCATATCCTCAATATTCTAAACGGTGAGTACAGATTAACGCAACAATCAAAAGTTTCTACAAAGCATGCAGAGACTAGACAGCTCACCACTGGACTGCTTCGGGCTGAACTTGTTCTTGATGAGTAATAACTGCATTCAGATGGCTATAAAGTTTCCAAGAAGAAAGGTTTTACAACAATGATCACCTCCTTTTTCTAATCAGAATACATTAGTGATCATGGACCTAACTTACCCCTGGTTCTCAGGATAAAGGTTACTGTTATCCTGTGGTTCTAGAACTCTACCTCATCCCCACCCTCAAGATCCACCAGCCCTTGGATAGAAGGAGAAAAGAGGCAGGGGATGCCCTGAGAAGTGCTGCTCAGAACTTCTTCAGGAGGAACTAATGAACAACAAAAGTGGTTTTTCTATGTATTTCCCTAATACTTGAAGCTATGACTTTCCAGCAGGCATTTTATCACAGCTTGGATGAGTCACAACTGGCTAGCTGAATGCAGAGAGTAATTACAGGTCAGATTAAATGACTTTTTCTTTGGATATTTTTCATTTTTGACTTTTTCTCTGAAAGTAAACTGTGCCCACCTACATCCCCCTCCTCTTCACCACCTTCCCCTATTTAGACTTACAGTTCGAGAACTATAAGGGTTATATAATCCACCACTGTACAATGATGCCTAAGGAACAAAGGAAATATCACTTAGCTATTTAACATCAAGGTTGTTTTGAAAATGACTTAATGTTTTTGCAATACGTGGTACCAAAAAAGTTTTGCAGAATGGCGTAAATGTATAGCCTCCCAAAATGAAAACTCTGAAGGCGGTAATACTCATTTATATGTGCATAAATTGCTATCAACTTTACACTTCATTTTTTAAAAAACACCCCTGGTTACAGTATTTTCTTTCACCACTGTGTTATGAAACTGGGAGAATTAACATGTATAAATTTATTTTCTCAAAAAAGGAAATAGAGCAGAAAAGGAAACTGAGGTACAAAGAGCATTTAAGCCCACTGCAACAATAAAATTAAGTTATAAAACACCAGGATCGCAGTCCACTAGAACAGGCCACAACACAACAAACGACAGCTTGAAAGCAACAAAATTCCCAGCTCACACATTACACGGAGCTATTGCTTTTACTTTTCTAGTCAGCTTGCTTTATTAGAACCTAGTATCAGAGGCCAAGATCATAAGTGTCTCAAAGAAAAACAGCATCCTTTCTGTAAACAGCCATCTCACAGAAGTACGTGAGTGTGGTGAGACTCAAGCAAATCTATCTTCTCTACAAAAAACTGATTCTAAGCAAGGGCTACCAATAGCCCTCTGTAAAGGGAATATGCTCATTTTTAATACCCTCAAGTTTTATATTTTAAGCATAGGCAGCACATTCTGCAATACATGACATTAAAGTCATGCGTCCTTAACTATTTTGGAGATACGCTGTCAAGCCATAGAGTTAGCACCATGACAGTTACCCCACCAGCAGTGCACACACTGGAAGAAGAAAACACAAACCAGACTGGCACTTCTCAGCAGACCAGAATTTGCAGGAGAGGCCTATGAAAAAAGTGCATTATTAAACCCGAAGAAAAGCAACTGGTAGCTCTGAAGGCAGAACATTCCTCAGAAAGTACTAACCCTGTCACTCTTAGATGTTGCCAGAGGGTCACTGTACAGGGAAGAAGACTGCTAAGAGACAAAAACAAAATAAATAAGCAAAAACAAAAGCAAAGATGAACTGGTCTCACCATCATGAAGGCAGAGGACTTAAGTTTATGATTTTATACTCCATAATTCATTAGCAATTCCTGAGTGCTTAAGGTAGTTAAGAAAACACAAGAAGAAAATCTTAAGTCATTAGCAATTGTTTTGAATATCAATTTTAAGAGATAAGAAAGAAAAACAGTTGGAATAGTTTTCTATAAATTATAAACATATTTATGTCCTACATGGTGGTCTTGGAGCATTATTGTTAGGATATAGAATGGCAAGTAAGAAAACACTGAGGAAAAGAGAGCTGTGGCACTGGGAGTGTGGCAAACAGTGGCCACATCCCACTCACCCAGCTCCTAGGATATTTTCAGCGATTTTATGACCGACTCCTAATTGGCTTAGACTGATTTTTGGAGAACGAGATAAATAAGCTCCAAGTTATCACAACAAACACTTTTTTCCAAATTGATTAGAAAAACTGTTCTTCAAAACAAATTATGGACAAAGGGCTTTAGCTGAATGAGATAGATTGTACTAGTCAATGAGGCCATGCACTAAAAAGGCACAGCATGTTTTTAAAGGAATTAAATCTTCCTTTTCCTGGCCGGGCGCGGTGGCTCAAGCCTGTAATCCCAGCACTTTGGGAGGCCGAGGCGGGTGGATCACGAGGTCGAGAGATCGAGACCATCCTGGTCAACATGGTGAAACCCCGTCTCTACTAAAGGTGCAAAAAATTAGCTGGGCATGGTGGCGTGTGCCTGTAATCCCAGCTACTTAGGAGGCTGAGGCAGGAGAATTGCCTGAGCCCAGGAGGCGGAGGTTGCGGTGAGCCGAGATCGCGCCATTGCACTCCAGCCTGGGTAACAAGAGCGAAACTCCGTCTCAAAAAAAAAAAAAAAAAAAATCTTCCTTTTCCTGATGTCATCTGAGAACATACTTTTCAAGTTCTTTTTCACCAAACCCAATCAGGAAGAAAGTAAGAGTATTTAAATTGTGCCGCGCCGGGCGCGGTGGCTCAAGCCTGTAATCCCAGCACTTTGGGAGGCCGAGGCGGGTGGATCACGAGGTCGAGAGATCGAGACCATTCTGGTCAACATGGTGAAACCCCGTCTCTACTAAAAAGTGCAAAAAATTAGCTGGGCATGGTGGCACGTGCCTGTAATCCCAGCTACTCAGAAGGCTGAGGCAGGAGAATTGCCTGACCCCAGGAGGCGGAGGTTGCAGTGAGCCGAGATCGCACCATTGCACTCCAGCCTGGGTAACAAGGGTGAAACTCCGTCTCAAAAAAAAAAAAAAAAAAAAAAAAAAAAAAAAAAATTCTGTGTGCAGGTTTTTTAAACATTATTTTAAATGTATTGTGTGCCATACATTTAATGTGTCTTACATGCATGATATGTTAAATGCCTTTAAAAAAAACCAAGAGATTCTAACATTACAAAATTATATTCCTCACATCCCATATGTAGTTTACATTTTTATATGTAAGCTTTTTTAAGAGGGTATACCCACTCTGAAGTAAACTGATGCTTGCAACTTACTTTGAAATGTATCAAAAACTAAGATGAATTGATGGTTAGAGGGACAAATAGATAGTTACATGATAAAAGAAATATAATGAATTGTATAATCTAAATGATAGGTATGTGATGTTCACGATATAATTCTTTGAATGTTTTTTGTACATTTAAACATTTTCATTAAAAACAATTTTAATGACACTGATTTATAAAGATGGTGATTCAATAGTTCCCACTGTTTAAAGAGACTCTCACAGACTATATAAATTCGTTTACCAAAAACTAGTATATACATAGCCATTTACAGATTAGTTACAGCTAGTCAAAATGTAAAATGGGGAGATTAGAAATACGTTAAAAGTAAATCAAACACATAAAGCCAAAAAAGACTTTGGACAAACCCGAGTGTAGTAGGCAGAGGTGGGTTTGCTATGTCTAAGACTGCTATAGTTTCTCTGGTCAAAGTAGAGGCCACTCTGCAAAAAGCAAAATTATATATATTTTTCTCAGGTTAAATGTTAACAACCTAACAACACACAAAGTGAACACACAAAGACAAAATCTGATATTGCCAAATCCCTTCTTCTCCAAAATAATGTTTTAAAATCATTGGATCACATTAAGTCAAAGTAATAATTATTTCAAGCCCCTCAAAAAACACTGGTATTACAATTTGTTTTCAAACAAACACATCACTTTTTAAATTTAAAAACAAGACAATAAATCCTCAGACAAAACGGAAGGGAAACAATTTATTCTCAGGTCATACTTGAGAACGTCCTTGAACACTCCTGGACAACTGAATAATTACCAGTTTTATAATCCATCTTTAAAGCCACAGAAGGGATTAAAGAGCTTTGTATTTGGTTCCAAACATTTCCTAGGCCCATTCCTTGTCAAAATAAACTGACAAATTAAATTACCAAAAAGAAAGAGAGAGTACAGGCTGGGCACGGTGGCTCATATCTGTAATCCCAGCACTTTGAGAGGCCAAGGCGGGTGGATCATGAGGTCAAGAGATCGAGACCATCCTGGCCAAGATGGTGAAATCCTGTCTCCACTAAAAATACAAAAATTAGCTGGGCATGGTGGCTGGCACCTGTAGTCCCAGATACTCGGGAAGCTGAGGCAGGAGAATTGCTTGAACCCAGGAGGCGGAGATTGCATTGAGCCGAGATGGCGCCACTGCACTCCAGCCTGGGCAGCAGAGCGAAGACTCCATCTCAAAAAATAAAAATAAAAATAAAAATAAAAATAGAGAGAGAGTATACTAAATTTGGTTTGATCTAAAACACCTATGGCAGGTTCATTTTCAATACAACGCACATAATAAGCAATAATAGTATACATTACAGTTAACTGAGGGAGAGAAAACCATCTATAAAATTCCCTTCCCAACTTTTCTAGCCATCTTTTTTTGCTCAAGGTTAAGCAAATTTAGGCAATCTCTGACTAAAAGACTCCACCAGTGTTGACATTGAAGTTGAGGATGCCCCTAGTCCCACCCCACCCCTACCATTCCTGGTCCTGCTGTCCCACACCACTTCTCACTCCCCACTTACATGCTCAACTAGGCACTAAGGCTCACCTTTCCCTAGAGCAGACATACCCAAACTATGGCCCCGCAGGCCGCATGCGGCCCCCTGAAGCCATTTATCTGGCCCCCCGCCACACTTCAGGAAGGGACACCTCTTTCATTGGTGGTCAGTGAGAGGAGCACAGTATGTGGCGGCCCTCCAACGGTCTGAGGGACAGTGAACTGGCCTCCTGTGTAAAAAGTTTGGGGACGCCTGACCTAGAGATTCCAAGATCCTACCTTTCAGGGCCTCTCATTAATGTCCTCCCCATTACATTCTCCCTTCTCTCCTCCCTTGTACCAACCAAAGCCTTCCAATCCTCTCTCAACCCAACCCATGGGAACCCTAAATTAGCAAAGAGTTGAGACTGTACTTCCTTTATTGTTGCAGCCTAATAGAAAATGGGTGTTCCTAATGTACCATGTGAGCAATGTGGAGACATTATTTTCCTCACAGAGATTTGTTTAGTGGCCGGACACTATGGCTCATGCCTGTAATCCCAGCACTTTGGGCGGCTGAGGCAGGTGGATCATCTGGACAACATGGCGAAATCCTGTCTCTACAAAAATACAAAAATTAGCCAGGCATGGTGGCACACGCCTGTAATCCCAGCTACTTGGGAGGCTGAGGCAGGAGAATCACTTGAACCTGGGAGGTGAAGGTTGCACTGAGCCCAGATCTCGCCATGCACTCCAGCCTAAGAGACAGAGCGAGACTTTGTCTCAAAAAAAAAAAAAAAAAAGAAAGAAAGAAAGAAAGAAAAAGAAAAAAGAAATGTTCTTAGCAAGGTGGGCTAAAATAGAGAGTATATTAATTGTGCAATTTAATTACATTATAGTTTAACAAGTTTTCAGCAAGCTAGCATGGGCACTTTGCCATTACATATTTACTGCAAAAACCAGAAAATGCATTTCAAGTTCCCAAAACACAAACTTTTAGAATGAAACCTATTTGTGAGTTTAGTTACTGCCCATAATACCACAACTAAATCAATGTGAATTCTAAAATAAAGATGAAAATCTCACTAAACCTATTCTTGAGGTATATTCCAAAGGACAATTCATAAATGAAAATACTTGTTAATGAGCTTCTTGTGATATATTACTAACTCTGGCTGCAGGGGTTTGCATATGTTAACTTGAGATTAAAACTTGCAAATGAAAGCAAAATTATTTTAAAATTTCTGATACATCATGTTTCAGCAGATTATCAAGCTTCAGCAATGCCTTAGTAGCACACCAAAGCAATCATGATTCTTAAGTTTCCTAATAGTACTCCAAGAACTGTGACATGAGACACAACAGAACTAACCAGTGGGTCTTTATGAGAACCAGAAGACCTCTTCTTCATTCCATGAGAGTGACTATGAGAATGATTCTGGAAGTAAATGTTTCAAGTTAACTTTAATGACTGCATAGTGAAGTTACGAAAATAATTTAATAAAATTCATCTTGAAAAAAACACAAAGGTCTCCATAAGAAATACAACAGTTTACATGCAATTTATTTCCCAAAGGTTAGTAAACGATTCACTGCACTTTACTAGCTAGGCTACCTGGCCTGTCTACACATCTGCATTCCTCCATCACCTCCCTCTGTGCCAAGCATCTGTGTGTCTGGGCAGCTAAAGAAAACTTGATTATGACTTAGAGCCAGGCAGGATATTTGTGGAAGAGCTTCACACCACACTTGTGTCCTTCTGACATTTTTTTTTTTTTTAATTTTTCAGTAGAAACAGGGTCTGGCTCTGTCACTCAGACTGGGATACAGTGACACAATGGTGGCTCACTGCAGCCTAGAACTCCTGGACTCCTGCCACAGACTCCTGAGTAGGTAGGCACACAGGCTTGTACCACAACACCCAGCTAATTTGGGGTGGGAATCAAGTAGAGACATCTCAAGTGATCCTCCTGCCTCAACCTCCCAAAATGCTGGGATTATAGGCATGAGCCATCATTCCTGGACCCCCTCTATCTTCTTTATAATGGTATGGGTAACAAGATAATTCACTTCCTCCTATAGTCTTCCTTACCTAAAGGTTAAAAAGCAATCCTTTGAAACAATTAAAACAGGACTCAGAGAACAAAGAACATGACATTGCATTGTCCCAGAGAGTACTCTTACCCCGAATTAGTAAGCCCACAGTATGTAATGCTCAGGAGGAAAGTAACCAACATGGTATGGATTGCCCAGCATACCATAAATGGTCACCTTATAAAAGGGTCCTTTGAAGACAGGATTGTCTCAATACCTAACTTTTCCTAGGAGTACAGAGCCAAGTGCATACAGGGAAATTAAGGCCAGGAAGATTACTAAATAAGGTAAGTTGGCAGATAAGAAATCTAATCTAGGTGCGTACTACTTGCCTGAAATAAGAGGGTGAGGCTAGACGTACCCTACCTATCAACAGCCAAAGGCAACAGACTGCTCTAGGCAAACCATCTCACATATATAGAGCTATATCCTTAATCAATGATTAAAAACTAATTTTTCTTTTTTTATTATGCATCTATTTATATATTACTCTGAACATATTAAGAGATGTCTACATAATTTAGAAACTCAGGCAACCTATTGATAAAATATTAACCCAAGAAAAACAAGCTATAACTTAACCTCCTTGATTAATGACATACCAAACAAACTAACCAAATCAAACCAGAATGTTTGAACAAAACTGATGTCACAGGTGTCCTCTAACACTATGGATGTTTTCTACCTAGCAACTTTACACCTGCTAGCTTGTGACATGTGACATAAAACAGTTTGGACTTGTGCTCAACATGAAAACCTGTTTCTAACAGTGTTAGAATGACAACGAGTATGTATTAGGTGAATGGCTCATCATAAGAAGAGATTTACTACTACTAGCTGGGCATGGTGGTTCACACATGTAATTCCAGCACTTTGGGAGGCCAAGGTGGGAGGATCACTTGAGACCAAAAGTTTGAGACCAGCCCGGGCAGCATAGCAAAACCCCATCTCTACAAAAAATATAACAATTAGCTGGGCATGGTGGCACATATTTATAGTACTTGCTACTCAGAAAGCTGAGGTGGGAGGACCCCAGGAGTTCAAGGCTGCAGTCAGTAAGCTATGATTGTATCACTGCACTCCAGCCTGGCTGACAGAGAGGGACCCCATCTCTAAAATTTAAAAAAAAAAAAGAAAGATATTACTACCAATCCTAGTCCTCAATAGAGAAGAATAACTTGTATCTGATTCTGAAAAATTACTATTCATGCCACAACTACAAAACATTAGTTTTTTTGCTTTCTTAGTCACACATTTTCCCCAAAAGTTCATAACGAAGCCATGAAAGTTAGTCATATTCTATAATTAGCATCAACAGATGTTTATAAAGTAAAACTCCACATGTAACACAAGGTCATGCAGTACATACTAATGATGAAAGTCTTGATGATCTATCCTTGAACATATCACACTGGGTTTCAGCAAAACATGAAAGTTGGTTTGTTTCCAAATTCAGAAATATAAAGAAGAGAAGAAGTAACATTTGAGGTTATTAAAAATCCAACACTATTATAAAGAAAAAATTATTAAACATGAAAGCTAATCCAGTTGAATTAAAAAATATTCTTCCTCCTACTCTTTCCTAGTATAAAGTATTGCTAAACTATATGTATATTCAAAACTACATATTTTTCTTTTAAATAACAAAATTCATAATCAGTAATAGTGATATGAATTAATCTCAGTACACTATAGCACAAAACATCCTAAGGGAGCATTTAAATACAAGAATTAAGCATTCAAAAGTCAAAAATGCTTTTTAAGAAAATTATCATCACTTTTAACATCATTTCCTATTGTTTGAAAAATGGCAAAAGCAAAGGATGAGTAGGCAATGAGGCAAGTGCACATAACTAGCACAGTCAAGCTTACAAAAGAACAAATGCAGCACCAAGATGGGGAGCATTCCTTTGGATCTGCTTGTGGACAAACACCTAAAAATGTCCTTCCTCAAAAAAAAAAAAAAATTGTTATTATTTTTTTTTGAGACGGAATCTTGCTCTGTCCCCCAGGATGGAGTGAAATGGCACAATCTCGGCTCACTGCAACCTCCGCCTCCCGGGTTCAAGCAATTCTCCTTCCTCAGCCTCCCAAGTACCTGGGATTACAGGCGTGTGCCACCATACCCAGCTAATTTTTGTATTTTTAGTAGAGACGGGGTTTCACCGTGTGGGCCAGGATGGTCTCGATCTCTTGACCTCATGATCCACCTGCCTTGGCCTCCCAAAGTGCTGAGATTACAGGCATGAGCCACTGTGCCTGGTTCCAGTTTATATTTTTTAAGCTATCTACCCAGAAAGTCAATATATAAAACAAATAAAAGCAATGAGCAAGTTCCTCAGGTAGGTTAAATACTAATTGTTTGGAAAAAAACATCTTTCTTTTCTAACCCTTACACTAAAATTTAAAATTTTAAGGAATACTATTCAAAAACCCAATTTAAAGTAACGTTTTCCTAAGGATAGATTGGAACTCATCAGCAGTTTATAAAATCAACTTAGTAGGTTAAAACCAGCTTTTTTTGAGACAGGGTCTCTCTCTTTTGCCCAGGCTGGAGTGCAGTGGCTTTATCTTAGCTCACTGCAACATCAAACTCCCACCTGAGCCTCCAAAGTAGCTGGAACTACAGGCACATGCCACCATACCCAGCTAATTTTTTTTTTTTTTAAATTTTAGGAGATGGGGTCTCGTGATGTTGCCCAGGTTGGTCTCAAACTCCTGGGCTCAAGCAATCCTCCCACAACAGCCTTCCAAAGTGCTGGTATTACAAGCATGAGCCACTGTGACCTGCCCTCAACCAGCATTTTAAAAACTAAACTAGAAGAGCAAATATTAGAGGGTGTGTGTCAAGTAAGCGCAAATATTATTTTATGAAACTTGTTTCAATAATGTATTCTCTATACTTATATATATGTACAAATCCACATGCATGAATATTCATGTGCATACTGATTTATGGTGTAAAATGTATTTCTTGTTGCAGAGATCACAATTTTTAAAAAGCTTAAAACATATTAGAAAATCAAATTATATAATCTAGTTCTAACAAGACATTGAAATAGTTTAGTCAGAATAAAGTCCTTCCTTTCATGCCTAATTAAATGGTCATTTACGAAAGACACTGCAGAAACCTCAAAAAATAAATTTCTTAAGTATAGGACTAAGTGTTACCATTTTACCTCTGGCATAAATTCATTGAAAATGTTATTGTAGGCCGGGCGCGGTGGCTCAAGCCTGTAATCCCAGCACTTTGGGAGGCCGAGGCGGGTGGATCACGAGGTCAAGAGATCGAGACCAGCCTGGTCAACATGGTGAAACCCCGTCTCTACTAAAAATACAAAAAATTAGCTGGGCATGGTGGCGTGTGCCTGTAATCCCAGCTACTCAGGAGGCTGAGGCAGGAGAATTGCCTGAACCCAGGAGGTGGAGGTTGCGGTGAGCCGAGATCGTGCCATTGCACTCCAGCCTGGGTTAACAAGAGCGAAACTCCGTCTCAAAAAAAAAAAAAAAGAAAAAGAAAATGTTATTGTAATAAATACCAATTTTATTGGAGCAAAATATCTGTACCTGCTTGCTTTTCTTGTATTATCCTGAAACTGAGAGAAAATACAAGCAATAAAAAATATTATTGCATGTGTAACAAAACCTTGTTACAAAATTTTCTAAAATGCATGATAGCATGCACTTGTTAAACTGTGTAGTGATAAAATGTCATTTACCATAGAGTGACACTTCCCCAAAAATAAAGTTCCTCCTCTATAAAAATTTCTAAATTAACGAAATGTCTAAGCCTTTTGTTTAAAAAAAAAAAAAAAAAAAAAACTTCCATGAACAAAACACAGTATTACTCAAGTCACATATTCTAGCAGATAAGCTATTCCATCCTCCAAATCAGGTAAATTCATAAAAAGAGTAGCTGTCTACTCTCTCATCAACTTCTCTGTAGCACCAGTGGCATTTTAAACAGGCATAGGATTTAATAAGCTAAACTGAAATTAACCTGTTTTAATTTTCCTTTTCCAAAATATAATGCAGAATTTGGCTGGCTTAAAAAAAAAAAGTTGAATATATCAGGTAGGGAAATCAATAATTTGGACATACCAACTGCTACTACAACAATGGGCAAACAAAAAGAATCACCCAGTAAGTATAAGTTGGCATTTATATTGTTAAAAAAAAAAAAAAAAAGATTCATCAAAGGAAGTAAAATTGAAAATAGTAAGGGCTCATCTCCAAATTTTTGGTGCCATAACCATAAAGAAAAAGAATTTTTTTAACTTAAAGAGTTAAAAAAAATTCCAAGTTTGCTATTTTAATCTTTTTTTTTTTTTTTTTTTTTGAGACGGAGTTTCGCTCTTGTTACCCAGGCTGGAGTGCAATGGCGCGATCTCGGCTCACCGCAACCTCCGCCTCCTGGGTTCAGGCAATTCTCCTGCCTCAGCCTCCCGAGTAGCTGGGATTACAGGCATGTGCCACCACGCCCAGCTAATTTTTTGTATTTTTAGTAGAGACGGGGTTTCACCATGTTGACCAGGATGGTCTCGATCTCTCGACCTCATGATCCACCCGCCTCGGCCTCCCAAAGTGCTGGGATTACAAGCTTGAGCCACCGCGCCTGGCCTATTTTAATCTTTTAAATAAATTTTTTTTAACTGTCAAACTTGCCTGAAAGTTTTCTTTAGGAAACAAATTAGAAAGAAAGTACATATAGCAAGCAAAGTTCAGCAAGTGTCAATTTCTATTAGAATGTACCTATTACTCAAATATTCAGGATACTGAAAGTCAAAAGTGAATACACAGTACTAATACCACATGTTTTCCTGGGCTACACACCATGGGATCTTTCCTTTTGGGTATACTGGCTCTGCTCCAAAGTGTCCCAGTTACATCCTTCGATGGGTTCTTCAATGGAATTAAACAGTGCAACAGTAAATGATAAAACACAAAACTGTACGTATTTTTAAATATTAAATTCATTAAAATTTTACCAAGGCCACTGGTATATAAACAATAATTAAATACATGCAATAGTAAAAACAATCACCAGTGAGAAAAGGTGATGTATCCCCACTGCTCTGATTCAATCGAGATCACTTTTTCTTCATTTTTATGCTGTGGCACAATCAAGGCTCACCACAGTCTCTACCTCCTGGGCAGCTCAAGCAATCCTCCCACCTCAGCCTCCCAACTAGCTGGGACCACAGACATGCAACACCACACCTAGCTATTTATTTATTTATTTTTAATTTATTTATGTTTAGTAGAGACAAGGTCTCACTACACTGCCCAGGCTGATCTCAAACTCCTAGGTGATTCTGCCGCATCAGCCTCCCAAAGTGCTGGGATGAAAGCATGAGCCACTGTGCCTGGCCAAGATCACTTCATTTTCTAATTTTGGATCTCTACCTTATTGTCTTCTCATATTTCAATGTATAAAGCAGTGACCAAGCAGCTACTCATGTTCTGCACTATTAATAATCTAATCATTATACAAAACTAATAGACATAGGATGGTTCAATTCTAAATTTATAACTTTGTTTTAATCCTCCCTCCCCAATCCTACCAATCACACTCTTGAACTATCTTTGCTGTTTTTATTTTTATACATAATGCCTATAGCACTGACACCAACATTTCCAGCCCAGATAGCTTCTGGTAAGCCACCTTTCAACAACATCGTATATGAAAGTTAATTGGACAAAAGGAGAAATCAAAAGTCCTAAGAATGCAGCATAAGACCACTATATTCACCTCACATTCAGGTAATGCTAATGTTCACACATCAAATACTATGTTCAAAAAGTATTAGACCTCTTAGTAGGTCTTAAGTTTTTAAAAATAACTGGCTGAGATATGCATAACTCCAAAATTATATAGCAAATCATAAGGAAATTTAGATCAGGGTTTTAGGCCATCACATTTATTTCCACAGAGGACAAAAGTTGTCTAGCATTTTCAGCTTAAAGAAGAAGTTACTTTAAAAGCAAATATCTGGTGAAAACTTAGAACTCTCAATATTATTTAGGTAAAAGAGAAAAAGTTTTATCTCAATTATATTTCTTTTAAATGATGTTAGTAGGGAGCTTTCAGACTTGTTTCCAGGGAAGTCTAAACATTTAAACTGTGTTAGATGTACACTCACAGACAGTAATGTACAAGAATCTCCTCTAGGAGGTAAAACTCTTAATAATTTTTACATTTACACATTGACTTTTTTAAATACTGGGAGTTTTATTCTATCTCATAGTAATAAGTTTTTGAAATTAACATAATAAAATTAAATACTGGAGTTGTATCTTACATTTGTTTAATGATACAAATGCCATAAAAATAAAATCAACCTGATTAGTTTATATACATTCTGGGTAAACAGTTATTATCAGTTTAACCACAGATTGCTTTTTTGTTTGCATTATTTGTTTTAAAGGCCCCCAAATGTTCAATTTTGTTGGTTTTACCCTTAAGTTAAACAAGTATCTAATCAAGTTTCCCTAAGGTCACATACAAATGTACAAATAACCAGCTTGATAACAACGGTGTGAAAATACACACTATGAACATTATAATGAAAAGCAAAGGAAAAAGCCATAAATTAAATACAAGAAGGGATTATTTTCATAACCTTTGAGACTCAACTTTAAAGCTCTTATCGACTGACTCCCTATGATTCTTTACAAAATATTTATTTTATTTTATTTTTTATTTTGAGACAGTCTCACTGGAGTGCAGTGCCATGATCTTGGCTCACTGTAACCTCTGCCTCCCAGGTACAAGCAATTCTCATGCCTCAGCCTCCCGAGTAGCTGAAATTACAGGCGTGAGCTACTACGCCCAGCTACTTTTTTTGTACTTCTCAGTAGATATGGAGGTTTTGCCATGTTAGCCAGGTTGGTCTAGAACTCTGGATCTCAGGTGATCTGCCCACCTCAGCCTCTCAAAGTGCTGGGATTTTAGGCATGAGCCACCGCACCCAGCCTTTTCAAAATACTTAAAGAGAAAAAAACCAAAGTACTATATCTCCAGGGAAAAGTATAATGGATTCACTATTAAAATTATTTTCCTCTAAAATCATTTCTAGGCTGCCAATTATCTTAGATTTCTGTAAATATCTGTTAATATTCTTAAAATCTAAAGTTTCATAATTAAAATATTCCTGATTTAATAACTAGTTTTCTAAAAAGATAATATATTACATTGAAGAAAAATAACCAGCCTGGAGAACTTATTTATGAATATAAACATGTCAATAACAAGCACGCCAAAGCATACTCAGTTTTTTAGAGTCTATTTTTATCATTTATACAAGGTAGAAAGAAAATTACAGTAGGGAAAAACAAATATAGACCTTAACATGAAAGAACATTTTAGTGATTAAAAAAACTACATGGAGGTGTACATACAGTATCATTACCAAAATGCACTTGTACACTAAAAGCTATTGAAATTAAAAAAAATTTTTTAAACAAAATGGAAAAAATATATACATACAGTATTATCAATGTGCAAATTAAAAGTACTGCTTTAAGGTTTAAAGTATACTTCTTTAAGAGAGAACTTAGGGTCTTGACATAATATGAGGGTTTTTAAGGAGCAACTTCTCCTTTCTCCTGACTTATAACAATCCATGCAAAAAAACCTGGGACACTCTATAAAATGTTAATCAAAATGTCAAAGCATGTACATATTCAGAGAATTTTTCAAATCAGTTGTTCAAATTTTCCACATAATTATAATTAATCATCCAAGCCCCAAAACTATTTCTCATTTAATATATTGTCATTTTCTAAGATATGAAAGTAGGAAAAGCATGAACTTAGAACCAAACAAATGTTATTCTACAAGATCAATCTTAATTATTTTGTGATACATTTTCAAAATCAAAGGTCCCTCTACAGAAAAAGAGACTAGATCCCATGTTAATAGAGTAAAATATTCATGATTTTAGAGCTGATTTACTTATGATAATAATTTGAAAGAAAGCATCATTTTCCAATGAAAGGTCTTTGCCAATATTTTATACTTTTTTTAAAAAGGCAAAGAAATACATTAATACTGTCAGATTGCTTAGGCAACAGTATTGAAGAAAGCTCACACGTAAGCTTTGTATTGTTTAGACAAGTTAAAATACCAACCCTGTGACTGCCAAGACTTCGAAAGGACAATGCATCCTCAACTCCCTGATAAAAATACAAATAAACACAGTAAAAGTTTGTGAATGACTGCATTAAGCTAATGAAGAAAAGTATTAGACGCAAGTTTATAGGTTATTACAAACCAGATAAGGACGATGGTAACTGGACCGGTGGGAATACCTGGCCCTTTCCGAATCTTCCTGGGAAAGGAGAAAGTACATGGAGAATTAATCACTGAACTTTGTCAGAACTGAGCAAAGAGCAGTCAGTTAACAGCATAGCAACAACTCCTGAGAGCAGACGGGTTTGGACAACTTATCTTTGGGGCAGCCACATTCTCTAGTTGGAAAGAAAGTAGAAATAATCTTGGCAATGTTCTTATTTTATCAGCAGTATGTATGTCAGACCAATTGGAATGGTCTGTATAAGACCAAGAGAGTTTAATATACCAAGATAAAAATATGCAAGTATACTTAACAAAGAGAACCTGAGTTCAGCATTAAAAAAAGACCTTAATCTATTTTTTTTATTGTGATCATCGGTTTATGCAGGCAGGAAGAAGTGTTTACATTTTCACTGATGTTTTTTAAGAAGACAGTATATGGTTCTAAAAATACTTGGGTTATAACTATGCACTTACTGTAAAGATTTTTTTTTTCTTTCACCATTCTAACTAGGAAAGAACTAAGTGAAACAGAGCCTGTGTGTTGTTAATATGAAAAACTATGTACGCTTAGAAATAATTACATAAATACTTTAGAGTTGGTTAAGTTATCTCAAGTAATGCCATAAGCAGATTATTTTTTAAAAATGACTGCAGCCTAACAATTAACTAAATTAAATGTAATTCTAAACTTTTCCACATTTAGCTATTAGCAATGGAGTATTAAGGCCTGAGTCATGTTAAATAAAAATGGCTAGTCCCTAGAACCTAATCATCTGAATCAGTAAGGAATTTCTCATATTTCAACATTTCCAAGTACAAAGTATTAAGTAATTTGCACTGACTGAAAATCTAAACCTTACTGACCAACTGGGTTCATAGCTTATCAATGCTGTATTTTGTAAAACAAATCAGTGCCTCAAAACTCCCTGGTTGACATCTGCAGTGACTGATGTCCTTGACCAAATCTGTTCTGAAGTCTGTTTACAAGCACTACTATGATTCAGTTTCTAATCATGTATTCTGATCTTCAGGAATTCATCACTGATTTACATCTTTTGTTGTTGTCATCGTTTTTATGAGAGTCTCACTCTGTCACCCAGGCTGCAGTGCAGTGGCATGATCTCGGCTCATTCCAACCTCAGCCTCCCAGTTTCAAGCGATTCTTGTGCTTCAGCCTTCTGAGTAGCTGGGACCACAGGCACTTACCATCACACCCAGCTAATTTTTGTATTTTTTAGCAGAGATAGGGTGCTGCCATGTTGGCCAGGCTGGTTTCGAACTCCTGACCTCAAGGGATTGGCCGGCCTCAGCCTCTTACATTTTTTGTTATGCAATAGACATATGTAGTCTGCAAGAAGCCAAGAAAATTTCTTCCCTTTCTTTATCAAGTGATACCACAAAAGTTTTGAGGGCATGTGTGTTAGCCTAGCAGGGTGGGTACAGCTTATTAAATCAGGTGCAGGTTACTCAGTTTGGTTAGTTTAAAAAACCTTTATTATAAAGATGAGTTAACTCAACATGCTCCTTTCAATATTATTTGGGGTACTAGGACAAATATATGGTTTAATATCTAATCTTCCCTTTATTCTAGCCTTTTTCTCATTCCATCTATCACACAAGAGCATTTTCTTTTCTTTTTTTTTTTTTGAAACAGAGTTTCACTCTGTCACCCAGGCTGGAATGCAGTGGCGCTATCTTGGCTCACTTCAACCTCTGCCTCCTGAGTTCAAGTAATTCTTCTGTCTCAGCCTCCAAAGTTCAAGCAATTCTTCTGCCTCAGCCTCCAAGTGCTGGGACTATAGTTGCGTGCCACCACACCCGGCTAATTTTTTATTTTTAGCAGTGATAGGGCTTCACCATGTTGGCCAGGCTGGTCTCGAACTCCTGACCTCAGGTGATCCACCCGTCTCAGCTTCCCAAAGCGCTGGGATTACAGGTGTGACCCACTGCACCCGGCCACAAGAGCATTTTCAAAAACCTCATCTAAAGAGCACATCCCATTAAAGATGCAGCAAAGACAGATTAATTCGTACTTTCAATTATGCTCCTTACAGTAATAAAAAATTATAAATTAAAATACCTTATTAAGTATTGATATGAAATACCTCTATATATAAACAGCTTTTCTTTTTAGCTCCATTTCAAAAACTGGCCAAAAAAGACTTCAGAAAACTACAGAATAAAATATAAACCTTCATATGGGTCAGTTAATTTAGACAAAGAATAACCATAGATATTTACTATCGCATATATAGTAAGCTATATAGCATAATACATAAACTATACCTTAAATAAGCACTGTTCAATAGAACGTTCCGTGACCATGGAAACATTCTACATTTGTACTAATGTAGTAGCCACTAGCCACATGTGGCTACTGAGCTATTGAGCACTTGAAATGCAACTGAGAAACCAAATTTTAAATTCTACTTAATTTTAGTCAATTTAAATTTAATTACCTACAAGTGGTTACCATACCTGATAGCACTTCTGTAAACCTACTTGACAAATATATTTAGGTAAAACAGTAAGGCAAGCTCAAGGTAAATTTTAATTACACCAAAAACAATCAAAACACGTATTTTACTAAGAGCCTGCCAAGTAGGACCACTCTCATAAAGAAAGGCAAAATATTTGGGTTGTTTTTAATTACTTCTACCTTGAATACTTTTGCATAGTGGCAAACATGAGGGAAACAGAAGGAAACTCTTGTATAAATGACCCTGGTAGCAACTCTATTTTTTTTTTTTTTTTTTTTAAACAGAGTCTCGCTCTGTTGCCCAGGCTGTAGTGCAGTGGTGTAACCTCGGCTCACTGCAATCTCCACCTTCTGGGTTCAAGCAATTCTCCTGCCTCAGCCTCTCGAGTAGCTGGGACTACAGGCATGTGTCACCATGCAGAGCTAATTTTTTTTTTTTTTTTTTTGAGACGGAGTTTCGCTCTTGTTACCCAGGCTGGAGTGCAATGGCGTGATCTCGGCTCACTGCAACCTCCGCCTCCTGGGTTCAGGCAATTCTCCTGCCTCAGCCTCCTGAGTAGCTGGGATTACAGGCACGTGCCACCATGCCCAGCTAATTTTTTGTATTTTTAGTAGAGACGGGGTTTCACCATGTTGACCAGGATGGTCTCGATCTATTGACCTTGTGATCCACCCGCCTCGGCCTCCCAAAGTGCTGGGATTACAGGCTTGAGCCACCGCGCCCGGCATTTTTTTGTATTTTTAGTAGAGACAGGGTTTCACCATGTTCACCAGGATGGTCTTGATCTGACCTCGTGATCCATCCACCTTGGCCTCCCAAAGTGCTGGGACTGCAGGCATGAACCATTGTGCACAGCTGCAACTCCATTTTTAAGAACTAGAAGAGTCCTCAGAGATCGTCTAGTCTGATCCCTTCATTGTGCAGTTAAGAAAGCTGCAGCACAGAAGAATTAAGTAAGAATCTTTAAGATCACAAAGCTGGGACCAGCATTTAGACATTCTTACTCACCAGACAACTGAATCGTAAAGTTAATATCCTACGCTGGCTACATTTCCACTAATTACAATAAGAAAAAAAAAAGAAAGAAAATGGCAAAGTATTCTGGTTTTTACTCAGAGATTCTTCCTTCTCTGGAAGAATAAAAAGCTTCATTTCCCAGGTATTTCTGGGGTACTATTTATATTGCCAATTGGTTTCTCTTGAATAAATTATACCAGTAGACAACTAGAAAAGATGACAGCAAACTGTGTTCTTAGGTGCCAGTTACAAGCTATATCCCTCTATTCCACAATGAGGAAAATAAGACATCATCATTATCACAAAAGTCCTTATTAGTACTAAAGAGCTAAAGAATGAACAAATACTATGATACCTTAATTTGTTCAAAATGATGCTTTGATACATTTAATGAAAATGAAATACACTCTTTGTTTTTAAAAGTTCATCTGAAGGAAGAATGAATGGTTTTATTAAAAGAAAACCACACTCCCATGACTATACCTGGCCATCTTATCTGTCAACAAATGGTATTTATTAAGGCTAAAGTCATTCCTTCGGTTTCAAATTAGGAAACTTCAAAAACTGTATTTACTCTTTTAGACATGCATTTACTCTTTCAGATACACCACTGATTAAGACAGATTCTCAGTTTAAAAACAGAATCATTAGGTTCATGGACAGTTGACTAAAATAACATAATGGGAGGCCCAGCAGGACGTGGGTCCTTTTCTTCCTGGTCCTTTCACCCTCCAACACGTTGGCAGGTGTGGTGCTCTCTCACACCTTCAAATACTGGTTCTGCAAAGGACTATGCAAGTTATTTACTTCATCAGTTCTTTATAAACATATCTATAAAATTGAGACAGTAATACCTGTCCTACAATATGAAATGAAAACCTATGTAAAAAGCACTAGCACAGTGCTGGTATATAGCATGTGCTCAAAGTTGAATTCGTTTCTGAGCTTCCTACCTTTTCATTCCCTATTCATGTCCCAACAGCACACTCCCACCCAAAAAGGGTATTATAATTAGAGGAAATTGTAAATACAGAAAAATTTCCTTCATTCCAGTAACTAACAATCCTATTGTGGATTGGATTGTGTGTGTATGCATCATTTATTTTACTATAAATATTAGCCATTTATATTTTGTATTGTAACTATTACACACCAACTTCTGCTTATGTGCTCACAATAAAGCAGCCAGAGAGACAAGGATAAGTTTACTTTGCAAACTATTAGTTAACGTTTTACTTCAAGACTGCATTATTTCAGCAACTGATCACAACATGCAGGACAGGCAATGCTGGCCTACCAGCCACTTCTGAATCTGTCCCCATTTCCGATCAAAGGAATGATGAGAGTACTAGAAATGCAAAAGTTTCATAAACCAAACAGTTTCCATCATAATGCATTCTTCAAAAGCCTTAATCATACACATTTTCCCTAAAGAGCAATGATAGCTGACTCAAAGTTACACAGTCAAAATACAGAAAATTAGTAAGCTAAATATGTTCAATAATAACAGATGCATGGTTCCCTGTATTTTAGAGAATTGTGAATAGAACTTATATTTAATAACTGTCTCACTCATGTTATTTATTTATATGTATTTTTTTGAAGACAGGATCTCACTTAGTTGCCCAGGGTAGAGTGTAGTGGTGCCATCATAGCTCACTACAACTTCAAACTCCCAAGCTCAAGTGATACTCCCACCTCAGCTCATCCATTTACTATTATATTTAGTATAATTTTAGGAGTGAAAAGACAATGAATTGTAACACTTCCAATTCACTCCAAGAACTGCATTCCATATTTGAAACTATACACTAGGTTAAAAGAAAATTAGCAACATGTCAACTGTTACTGTTTTACTTGAGCTATGACAATATAAAATATTTACATTGCTTTTTAACCTGCTCACAGAAAATTCAGCACCAAAATTAAAAGAAAATGTTTAGGCAGGGCGCGGTGGCTCACACCTGTAATCCCAGCACTTTGGGAGGCCGAGACGGGTGGATCACGAGGTCAAGAGATCGAGACCATCCTGGTCAACATGGTGAAACCTCGTCTCTACTAAAAATACAAAAAATTAGCTGGGCCTGGTGGCATGTGCCTGTAATCCCAGCTACTCAGTAGGCTGAGGCAGGAGAATTGCCTGAACCCAGGAGGCGGAGGTTGTGGTGAGCCGAGATCGCGCCATTGCACTCCAGCCTGGGTAACAAGAGCGAAACTCCACCTTAAAAAAAAAAAAAGAAAATGTTTAATACTGTCCCACTGGGTTTTGCCCCTTCATACTACTACAACATCAAAAATATTATGGAAATTTTAGGGCCAAGTCATTGTCAGAAAAGTGAAAGCATATTTATTTCCTTTTAATCAGCCCAATTACCATACCTTTTCTTCTCCCCCACCACCCCCAGACAGAGTTTCGCTCTTGTAACAGGCTGGAGTGCAATGGTACAATCTCGGATCACCACAACCTCCACCTCCGGGTTTCAAACCATTCTCCTGCCTCAGCCTCCTGAGTAGCTGGAATTACAGGCATGTACCACCACATCCAGCTAATTTTGTGTTTTTAGTAGAGATGGCATTTCTCCATGTTGGTCAGGCTGGTCTTAAACTCCCAACCTCAGGTGATCCGTCCGCCTCAGCCTCCCAAAGTGCTGGGATTACAGGCATGAGCCACCGTGCCCAGCCCCATATACCTATTCTTAAAATTTTTTTTTTCTGCTTTCCTTCTGATGATAAAAGCATATTGAAAGTTTGTAAATTATAGAAAAGCATAGAAAGAAGGTAAAACCAACAATAATTCCACCACAGACAAACCAAAGTATTAATAATCACTTCTTTCTAGTAGTTTTTGATGCTATATAGGGATACTGGTTTTTGTAATATAAAATTGGAGTCCTACCAGTTGTATTGTTTTGGTTTGCTTTTTGTTCCATATTCTTAAATATTTTCCTCCATCATTAAATATGCTTTAAAACTGTAAGTCTGGATGACTTTATAGTGTTTTACTATATAGATATCATAATTCATCCAAATTTTAGGACAATTAGAGCTATGCTACACTTTGTCATCATGAAAGTTACCTTCACTAATATAAAAAAGCACTCATAATACTAATAACTTATAACAATGTACATAATAACAGCTATATATGTGTTTGTTGTTACTACTTAAACAAATATCACATTTAATTTGCTGGCACAGAATGGCTTGATAAAATGCACATATCCGTTTATACTATTCTCAGTGTTTCAAAGGACATGAGATTCACATCAGAATAACCTAGTCATGTACTGATTCTGGGGGAAACAAGCACGAAATTAGGGTTATTCCCTCAAATTACCTCTTTCTGTTGCCGTTCCAGTTCTCTCATGCGTATATCTCTTGCTTCTGCCCGGGCAGCCCGTTTTGCTGCCAGCCTTGCCTCTGCCTGAAAAGTAATACAAAACTCAGCTTTACACAAGAAAAACAACCTGTACATCAGATTTGAAAATAAAGAACAAACGGCACTTGCAAAGGAGATGGGGATGACAAGATATTATCTTTCAGCAAGTTTGATTGATTGCTTCAATCAGCTCTTCTAAAGTCATTTCTTTCTTGAATTCCTAAGTATCTCCTCAAATTTGAGTTTTTACCTTTAACTTCTTGATTACACTCTCAACACATTTCACACAGTTATATGCCTCTCCAAACTTGCTCTTTTTCCAGCACTTTCTCCACCATTAATTCAATCATGTAACTAGAATCTTCAGAGCCAACCTTTCTTTCTTTTTGGAGACTGCCAATAATCACTCTCCAAGTACTGATAATTCTCTACCACTGAGTCTCTATCAAACCCATCTCAGCTTTCTTTATCTCACTGCTCCTGCTCATTTCGGGAACTCTTCATCTCCCCACTCCCCACCTCTCCCTGTTTTAAAATTAAGACAGAACTCACATATCATCAAATTCACTATTTAAACACACACAAGGCCAGGCACGGTGGCTCTCACCTGTAATCCTAGCACTTTGGGAGGCCGAGGTGGGTGGATCACCTGAGGTCAGGAGTTCATGACCAGCCTGGCCATCATGGTGAAATCCTATCTTAAATAAATAAATAAATAAATAAATAAATAAATAAATAAACGTATACAATTCCAACTGGGTGCAGTGGCTTTTGCCTGTAATCCCAGGACTTTGAGAGGCCAAGGCAGGAGGATTACATGAGGCCAAGAGTTTGAGACCAGCCTAGGCAACATGATGAAACCCTACCTCTACTAAAAATACAAAAACTAGCCAGGCATGGTGGTGCATACTTGTAATCCCAGCTACTCAGGTGGCTGAGACAGGAAAATTGCTTGAATCTGGAAGGTGGAGGCTGCACTGAGCCAAGATTGTGCCACTGCACTCCAGCCTGGATAACAGAGTGAGACCCTGTCTCAAAAATAAATAAAAGTATACAATTCCGTGGTTTTTAGTATATTCACAGTATGTATAATGACAGTATGTATAATGATTATGACCAATTCCAGAACATTCTCATAGCCCAAAATGAAACCTGGTATCCATTAGTGCTTCTTCTCAGCTCCTGGCAACCACTAATTTACTTTCTGTGTCTATGCATTTGCCTGTTCTGGACACTTCATATAAATGGACTCATACCATAGGAATTTTTCATCTCTTGCTTGCATTGCTGCAATTACCTCCAAATCCATCTACTTACTTCCAGAATCTGCCTCATAATTCATCTTCTACACGGTTATATGATAGAGAAATTAGACTTTCAAAACGTATTTCTGATCATGCCATCCCACTGTGTAAAATCCTCTGTCAGCTCCTTATTACTTATGGTTAAAGCAAAAATTCCACAGAACAGCACAAAGGGAAAAACAGAAAAAAGAAGAGAGGCAAAACAGAAATAGGACTCCTCATAATCAGGTCCCCATCTTACTTGCTAGTCCAGTAGTCCCCCGCTTATCTGTGGTTTCAGCTTCCCATGGTTAACTAAAGTACAAAAATATTAAGTGAAAAATTCGAGAAATAAACAATTCATGTTTTAATTGCACGCCATTCTGAAGAGTATGATAAAGTCTCTCAGCACATAAATCATCCCTTTGTCCAGCACATCTATGCTGTCTATGCGACCCACCTGTTTGATAACTATCTCAGTTATCAAATCACAGTGATTGTGTTGAAGTAATCCTCACCTTAATTAATAATGGCCCTGAAGAGCAAGAGTGATTCTGCCAATTAGGTATGCCAAGGAGAAGCCATAAAGTGCTTCCTTTAAGTGAAAAGGTGAATGTTTTAAACCTTGATAGAAAGAAAAAGGAATCATGCACTGAGGTTGCTAAGATCTATGGTAAGAACAAATCTATCCATGAAATTGTGAAGAAAGAAAAAGAAATTTGTGCTAATTTTACTGCTGCACCTCAAACTACAAAAGCTACAGTCACAGTGCATGACAGCTACGATGGAGAAGGCATTACATTTATAGGTGGAAAACATGAACAGAATCGTGTTCTGATTGATGGCAATCAGGTTTGATACTATCCGCAGTTTCAGGAATCTGCTGGAGGGCTTGGAATGTATCTCCCATAAATAAGAGGGGACTACTCTACTTGGTTCGCATGTACTGGATGCATCCCATCTCTCTCCACTCCTGGATTCTACTGCGTTCTCTTCACAAACTATATGGCAGCAGCTGTTCTCCCTTCTCTTACCCAGTAAAATATCATCATCCGTGAAGATTTCCTCCTTTTCCTCTTTCATAAAGTAAGGCTCTATACCCACGGCTCTATTGTGGCTTTATTATGTTGTATTAAAATTCCATGCTTCCCTCACCCCACAACTTTTGTGCCTCAATGTCTACTAAAAAAATTAATGAAGGATCGGGCATAGTGGCTCAAACCTGTAATCCCAGCACTTTGAAAGGCTGAAGCAGGCGGATTATCTGAGGCCAGGAGTTCGAGACCAGCCTGACCAACATGGAGAAACCCTGTCTCTACTAAAATTACAAAATCAGCCAGGCGTGGTGGCACATGACTTTTGTCCCAGCTACTAGGGAGGTTGAGGCAGGAGAATCGCTTGAACCTGGGAGGTAGAGGTTGCAGTGAGTCAAGATCATGCCACTGCACTCCAGCTTGGGCAACAAGAGTAAAACTCTGTCTCAAAAAAAAAAAAAAAAAAAAAAAAAAGAATTGTAGGCCATAGGTCACAGTATCAAGGAAATAAGGAAATAGCTTAGAAATCTTCTGTCTGGTTTCTATATGGTAGTTGAATGATTTTTATCCTTCTAAGATTTGTCTGTAGCCAATTCTGTACAATCTATACTAAAATGAGACTTCCTTCATAAAACCCAACTTAGAGATAATTAAAATATATTCTTTAATAAGATTTTTAACTATAAAAAGGAAGGGAACAGAATGAACGTGGGCTTCAGAGACACAAACACCCCTCCCTCTGTTACTTAGCCAACTAGAGTTATATGTTAACCTCCCTTGGAGATTGTGTTAAAGAGAGGCCACTAAAACCACAGGTTTTAAAAGAAATAAACAGGATTTAAAACTACTTTATCTGGTTCTTTCTATACATTGTTACTAGATGCTTGAAACAACATGGATAAGCAACAGTAGCAAGGAGCCAACACTGATTCCAACATAGTAGATGAAATATATGCTCTACAATTTATTGTGATATATTTTAAAATTATTTTTGAATAGACAATTATGGGTACATAAAACATACTTCGAGGTAGTTAACACTACCATTTTCACCTCGGAATACAATCAGATGAAAGAGCTGCTATAGATTAATTTTAATATACACCTCATACATACAAAATAAATGGGATATAACAATAAAGGACAACCAAGATTTAACTAAATTCAAAGTAATCCAGCACTTTGAGAAGCCAACGAGGGTGAATCACCTGAGGCCAGGAGTTCAAGACCAACCAAGTCTGGCCGGGCGCGGTGGCTCAAGCCTGTAATCCCAGCACTTTGGGAGGCCGAGGCGGGTGGATCACGAGATCGAGAGATCGAGACCATCCTGGTCAATGTGGTGAAACCCCGTCTCTACTAAAAATACAAAAAATTAGCTGGGCATGATGGCGTGTGCCTGTAATCCCAGCTACTCAGGAGGCTGAGGCAGGAGAATTGCCTGAACCCAGGAGGCGGAGGTTGCAGTGAGCCGAGATGGTGCCATTGCACTCCAGCCTGGGTAACAAGAGCGACACTCTGTCTCAAAAAAAAAAAAAAAAAAAAACCAACCAAGTCAACATGGCAAAACTCTGTCTCTACTAAAAATGGAAAAAAATAGCTGAGCGTGGTGATGCACGCCTGTAATCCCAGCTATTCAGGAGGCTGAGGCACAAGAATCACTTGAACCCAGGAGGTGGAGGTTACAGTGAGCTGAGATCACACCATTGCGCTCCAGCCTGGGCAACAGAGTGAAACTCTGTGTCTCAAAAAACAAACAAAACAAAATAAAGTTGGATAAAACACAGAATTACCATTTGATCCAATAATTCCATTTATGGGTATATACATACAAAAGAACTAAAAAGCAGAGACAACATTTTTTTATTTTGTTGCCAGGCTACCCCCATCCTTACTATTTCCATTGTTGAACTAATTTACCTGAAACACCAAGGAAAAAGTGAGGTAAAAATGTCTCGAAGTAAAATGTGATTAGCTATATTCTGTGATGTCCAATACTCAAAGCATTCTTAAATTTTCTGAATTTTAAATTTGGATTTTGTTACTGCTTCAGTTAAATAGACAGAGGGGAATAGGCTAAAATAAACTTGCTGTGGCTCATGGTGGCATTCCAAATCAGAGACTATGCACCGCCAATCAATCGTATTCTAAATTTTCCATACATCCAATGGGTCTACAAGTTAAGAAGGAACCTATTCGATGGGTTAGACAGTACTGTTTCCCTAAAATATAATCCATAAATTGAATCTCACTTGAGACTACTATCTGGAAAGAGGGGAAGGGTATGTATATTTAAGTACTGTATATAATGAACCACAAATAAGTGTATTTCTTCAGGATGTATGTACTCTGTACATACATGTAAGTATACAGTAGTTCCTCCTTATCCAAGGGCAATCAGTTCCAAGCCCTCCTCCTAATAGATGCCTGAAACTGCAGATGGTACCAAGCCCTATCCCACTGTCATAAATCAGAGCATGTTTCTGTTCATGTCTTCCACTCAGAAACCTAGTCTTTTCCATCATAACTATACTTATCACACAGTGGCTATAACTTTTGCAGTCTGAGATGCAGCAGGAAAACTAGTACGTATTTCTTTTTCTTTCCTCACAATTAGAACAGAAGATGCATTCTTGCCACAGATCTTAGCAACCTCAGAACACAATTTTTTTTCCTTACTTAGAACTTTCAGCTTTTCACTTAAAGGCAGAATTTTATGGCTTCTCTTTGG